TCCCTCTCTGTTGTCTTATGAATAAATAAATAAATAAATCTTGTTAAAAAGATAAATTTATTTTGGTACAAAGAATTTTAAAACCATGTGTACAAGCGGTCTTCAAAAAAGTGCATGGAAAAATGCATATTATGGATTCACATGGTTTTGCTTTGCATCAAATTAAATGCATCTCAGACCTGTTGAAGTCCCCTCATGCTGCAGCCTCAGCATGAGTTGAACAAGCTCGTGGGCTACCTGGGGACCACTGTGTCCACAGCACAGAAGGAACACTAGCACTCTTCCTGCCCACCCCACAGGGACCCCAGATCCTACAGAAGAGCCCTGGCTTGCCGGGACCCGGGGTGAGGTGGCCCCAGTCACACCTGTGCTGCCTCCTCTGGAAGAGAATTTGGGGCCCCTGGGGCAGCACCACTTTCCATAGCTCCCTCTGGAGTCTCACTCGGAGCAGCTCAGCCAGGGGAAACTTCAGGCTACCTGGGTCAGACCACAGGCCAGCCCAGCCACTTTACAGGAAGATGCAGGGTGCCCTTCAGAGCTAACACCCAAAGGCAAAGAGTTCCCTCTTAGGCCACGAGCCTGAGACTGCAGCTTCCTTAGTGCCCTCTTACAAAGAACCCAGTTCCCAGGATTCCCTCCATTTCATCTGAGTTTCTCCTGGTCTCTGGGTTAGTCTGGGGTTTCTTCTGCAATGGCCGTGTGGACTCTAAGCCATCTCAGGATAGACAAAACCTCCCAGCTGTTGCTGGCCCATCCTGTGAGCACTGGGCAGGACAGCAGCCACCAGGGTCCTCCCATGCCAGCCCCGCCAGCACATTCTGAGAGACACAAGCTGACTGCGCTTAATTTAAAGCAAGAGCCTTGAGGAGGTCAAAGATCAGCATTCCTGCCCTGATTACTGAGGCTAGAGGGCAGCCACTGAACTAACCAGGGTGAGTACCTGTCATCCAGAAGCCAGGCAGACAAGCAGTGCACTTCCTGCCTGACACGCTTAATTGGTGAGGCTCCGGGGTTTCACTGTGGTGCTTTCCACTACAGGCGGCTGCAGACCCTGGTCTCATTGAACTTGGCTTGAAAGCCAAGCTCCCGGCTTGTCCAGTTCATCCTGGAGTGCTGCCCTGGTTATTGTCCCACCGGGGAACAAGACGGCACTCTCCCAGCTCCAGGGTGGGGCAGGTGGACCGTGCAGCTTTACTGCTAATGAGGATGTGGGGAACCTGGCAACGCACTCACTTGGAATGCCCTCAGGAGGATTCCTGTGTGCTTGCGGGCTGGTTACCAATCAGTGGCGTAGGGTGTCCAGTGGGACACCCCTGCAGCTTCTTTTGGGAGCTCTGGCTGCAGCGTGAGTGACTTCAGACCTCCCCAACCCAACTGGTTGTGTTGTCCCTGGTGGAGACGACAGCTCTACCACCAGCCTCCTGGGATCAAACCTGCCAGGGTAACACCCTCCCCTGTGGTCCTCAGGACCCCCGAGGTGGCGAGTATTTATAAAACCCAGGTGGCAGTGCCTGGCGCAGCCCACGACTCACGTTACATAGCTTGGCTACATGTGCCTGCCGTGTGCAAGGGCCTGGTGCCTGGGCACTCAGACTCCAGCATGTTCTGAATGAATGATCCATGAACACTTTAGAAGTCTGGCTGGCTTCCCTCCTCCACAGGTTGTCTGCTTTCTCTCACCTGGAGTCAGGAGGTGTTGGGTCATTCAGAGCCAATTTTCTTATTAGCCTGGAAGAACATATGAAGAAAAATCCATTGCTGATCCAAAGGGAGAGATGTTTGCTTTTATGAGATTGTTACTCCGAAATAAATCATTGATAAGCTGCTTGCAGGAGGGGCTGGGACTCCAAGGGGTGTGTCCTGACAGCAAAAGGACACACACTGCTCCTCTGGATCGTGGGGCCGGCCACTAACTACAAGCTCCTGATGTGCCTGGCCACGTGCATCTGGATGGGGCTGTGGAAGTTCAAGGTCATCATAGAGAGAGGTTTCAAGTTCAAGGGAATGCCAGCAAAGCCTGAGGGCATGTGTGTAAGTAAAGGTCCTGAATATACTTCAGCTCAGCCAGCAAGAAGGACTGGGGTCCCTAAGATACATTTAGCTTCAACTGGGCTTTGGCTCGTTGATGGATGCCATCAGTGAACAAGGATGGGGCACTGTTTGTAAGCATCACCAATTACTGGCCCTGGAGGGTGGGTCCAGCGAGGAACTGAGAAGTCTACCTTTGCTGTCTGGTAATGAAACACCTCTCAACAGCCTGTAAGACAGCTATCTAATCCACACACAGGTTTGGTAAACACCAGACGGTCTGTGTGTATGTTGTTGGGGGGGGGGGGGGGTTGAAGCAAGAGTGTAAAGATATAGTCAAACAAAACTTTTGCACCATGAGTTCTAAAAATGATTCTGAAAATAGAGAAAGGTTTACAACTTCCCATCCAAACAGCATATAAGGAATCAAGAGTTCTTTACATTTATAATGTTTTTTTTTTTAATTTATTGATTTACATGAAAGACAGAGTTGTAGACAGTTGAGGGAGAGACAAGAGAGGGATTTTCCATCCACTGGTTCACTCTCTAGATGGCTACAATGGCCAGGGCTGTTCCAGGTTGAAGGCAGGAGCCTAGAACTCCATGTAGTCTCTCATGTGGGTGGCAGTGGCCCCCAGCACTTGGGCCATCTTCTGTCACTTTTTTAGGGACATTAGCAAAGAGCTGGATGGAAAGTGGAGCTGCCGGCATTCAAACCAGTGTTTATATGGGATGCAGGCTTGGAGGGCAGTGGCTTAACCTGCTGTGCCACAATGATGGCCCCATAATGTTTTTTTTTTTTTTTAATTAAGATTTTATTTATTTGAAAGGTAGAGTTACAGAGAGGGAGAGAGAGAGAGAGAGAAAGATCTTTCATCCCCTGGTTCACTCCCCAAATGGCACAATGGCCAGAGCTGAGATGATCTGAAGCCAGGAGCTTCTTCTGGGTCTCTCATATTGGTGCAGGGGCTCAAGTACTTGGGCTATCTCCCACTGCTTTCCAAGGCCATAAGCAAAGAGCTGGATCACAAGAGCAGCGGGATACGAACTGGTGCCCATTTGGGATGCTGGTGCCGCAGATGGAACATTAGCCTATTAAGTCACAATGCCGGCCCCCCACAATAGGTTTTAAGTTGCAATTATTTACTGCTGATGTCTGTGGACAAAAAAGGATTGTTCAAAATCTTTGTAATTCCTAATAGCATCTCCCTTGTACATTAGTGATGATCATTCTAATAGACTGTAAAAGGGCATGGCATCAGGTTTGTCACCAGAAAATAGGGTTTGGGATGTGGGAATTAAGAGAATTACTAAATCTGCCCTCAAATTGGAAACTGTGCCCCTACACATTGCCTTTGATGTAGATATGAGGTACTACTGCCCTTGTCTCAGTCTCTCTCCCTTAGCTTAGTTACTTTGCCCTGCTCTGTTAATTGCAAATCAACCTCTTACTAAGATTAACTTCCTCAGTGGAGAAGGCAGTGAATTAGGCCCAGAAGGGCACGCAGGCCCCAGATCACACGAGGTCACATCTTTCCTCTCTAAGAAACATTCTGATGTCTGGTCTTCTCCTGGAGGACTTTTTTTTTTTTCTTTCAGGAAGGCCTGATCAAAAAGCAATGACCACTTGCATGTAGCCCCGAGTGTAGCCAAGTTTGCCATCATCAAAATTCCCTGAAGAACACGATGGCCGCACCGCGGCTCAGACCAATCAAAGGAGGGTCATGAGCACTGCAGACGAACCAGAGACCTGCACACAAGCTGGACACACACTTCTCAACCCCAGCTTCAATCTGTAAGACTCCTTCCCCTTAACCCTTCAATGAGTCCAGGAATTAAGTGATAATTGCTTATTATACAAAATGAATACCTACTATTTCACCACTTCAGTGTCAGTGATTGGCTAAATGAGACCAGGATGAATGGACTCAGGATTTAGGGTCTGCCCAACTACAGAGTAAAACAATACTGATTCTAGGTCCCGGATCTCGAAGCCCACGAAATTCTCGATATTCCCTCAGGACTACACACAGGGCTGGAACAAGGAAGCTTCTTTTGTAGGCCTGACCAGGATTGTAACTACTGCAGCGTCTCTCCAAAAAGACTGTGCACCCCCACTCCAACAGCACCTGAATCACAGCAAGGGGGTCTTCCTGGGAAACATAAGGTTCCCACCTTCAAATCCAGACAATGAGTGGGTCCTTGATCTCACATTGATTTAGGTGCTGCATTATCACTTACCATTCGGCTCCATAGGTGCTCTGAATGTTTACAAGAACTGCTTGAGCCCAAAAAAGCAAATGATTGTCCCAGATAGAGCTCTGGTAACAGTCTCTTGCCCACAAACCCACTGAGTTTTAACCTCCTCTCCTGGAGACACTTGGCAATGTCTGGAGGAGACATTTTGGAGGAGGAAGCCACTGGCATTAGAGGTCAGGGTGACCTAAGGGGTGGGCATTGTGGTGCATTGGGCTAAGCTACTGCTTGGGCTGCCAGCATCCTATACTGTAGTACTGGTTTGAGCCCCGGCTGCTCTCCTTCAGATCCAGCTTCCTGCTAATGTGCCTGGGAGGTACTTGGGTCCCTGCCACCCACATGGAAGACCTGGCTGGAGCTTCTGATTCTTGGTTTTGGCCTGGCCCAGGCTCAGCTATTGCAAGCATTTGGGGAGTGAACAAGCAGATCGAAGACATCATTCCGTCACTGTGCTTTTCAGATAAATAAATCTTTAAAAACATACATCCTATGAAGCACAGGACAGCCTCTCATGACAAAGAATTACCCAGTTCAAAACATCAATGGTGTGAGTTTGAGAAACCTTGAGATCTGGGTAGTGAGGATAACTGGGGCATAGGAGGGGGAGGAAGCAAATTCTAAAAGACAAGGAATGCAAGAGCTGTACAGCTCACCATCTGAGAAGAAACACTGCTCTATACAGGTGTTTATTTTAATCCAAAGAGTCCACACAATACTAGTATTTAAATACTTTTATTTTCATTTCTTCCCCCACCTCCCGCCCCCAAAAAGCAGCAGTGTCTGCAGTTACACATGCCTTTCAGTCAGTGCTGGTCATATGCAAAACGAGTTATCAGAAGTACAAAGAAAAATAAGCCTTTCCCTTTACAGGAGAAACAACACGACTTGCACATACAATATTATATATACATACTATTTGCAAAATCGCCCACGAAAGACAGATCATGGTACAAATTCAGGATTCCAGCCGCAAGCTCAGACTCATGAATTGAAAGGGTTTAAATACAGAAATGTAATACCTTCATCAATTTCCAAGTACCTGCTTTCCAAGACAGCTGAGAGAGACTGCTCTTCACAGCCACACAGAACACTCGGCTTTCACCAAGACAGCTGCGAGATGGAGGTCGGTCTCCATGTGAGCTTGTTGATCAACGAAAACGCTCCAATTACGCTGTCATTCTCATTTTATATACACATAGGTGTACGAGCGTGTTATGGTACTGATGGCTTATGCAGGCCGGCTTCCGGAGCATTGCATTCCGCTAGACCAAGGCCTTCACTGCCTTTGAAGTATGTCAAATTAAGAACCGTTCAGAAATCTCTCTAATGATGACCATGACTAACTCCAAAAAGGTGCCCCTTCCTCTTATTTTTGATCAAAGTTAAATGTGTCATTAATAAACCTGTATTTTTTCCTACAGCAGCAGGTATAAGTGACAGACAAGTGCAGGCTAATCCAACACTAGATCCTGAGAGTTTCATATGGGTAAGTGACATCTCTTTACAAACCTTCCGGAAGCCCTGTCACTCAGCATCTCTAAATCGGTAATATGGCAAATCTTCAGCATGGAGCAGCAGGCTCAGAAACGTGAAAACACACACACAACACCAAGACGCTTGCAGGACGCAGGGAGGGTAGTGCACACATGCTTTTCTTTGGTGCAGACAAATGTGGAGTCTAACATTTTACCATGTGGTGGACGGCCAGACAACGTGAAACAGCACAGAAGAATGCTGAAAGCAGACACATGGCTCTGGATGCAGGAAATGCACACAAGCTCAGGCTAACGGGGCAGCACTGCCTTCCACTGTCCAGTGCAACTGAAGGTAACATCCAACAGTGCAGGTACTAAAGACACAAAGGAAAAAGGACCAGGATGGTCCAGCTAGTGGAGAACTGAGGGAAGAGAGGCAGCCACACAAGAGAGCTCTGGGTAGGAAGGGCCACGTTGGTCTGCCACGTGTGGAAGCTGAAAGGCTGCAGGGGTTTGTCCCTGAAGTTCTTTTTGGATTAGGTTTTGGGTGCACACCGTCCTTCATAGGAACCATGGCAATGACTCAGAAGGTTCATTCCCAGGAGGAAAATCATTTCTACTGGGCTACCCAAGAACGTGCTACTGAGGAAGACTTCTGCAGATGAGCCAGCATCCCAGGCCTCAAAACGAAGCTCCTCTTACAAGTCTCCGAGTTCTTCCAGTTACCGAAAGTCGTCAGCAGGGAAGTTTAAACACACTCTCACTCACTCCGATCCTCTTGCCTTTCTCGAATTTGCAAAGTAGGAGTGGGTCCCTTTCCACCCTCTCATGCGGTTGCACCCACACAGAGATGTGGGACTGGACTGGCCTCCACAGCTCCAGGTCCCCAGGTCCACTCCCATCACCTGCTGCACACCTAGTGCCGTTCCTTGCACCACCACACTGCGCCCTGGCACGCCCGATGGCAGGGATTCAGGGGCCTGTATTTTTGTTACGTGCACTCACAGCCTGCAAGGGACTGCGTATTCAAGGGAAACAATGAGAGAAGAGAAAAGAAGCAAACTGTATGTGTAGGGATGAATTTACTACTTACAGCATATACCCTAGAGAAAAAGAGAAATAACCACAAGACAGCAACTACATCAGCTACTGCAGACGAGGTGGGAGAGGAAGAGGTGGTTTGTCACCGTATGTCACTCGCTCTTCATCAGGTCCTACACAGCTACGCAAAAGGTGACACACACAAGGAAGCAGGAGATACAGCCCTACCAAAAATCCAAAAATATAAATCTCCCCAAAACAAAGAAGTAAAGACCACACAACTATCCTACTTGCCATTGTCTACACAGGCAACAAGGGCACAGGGAGAGTGGGATTTGTCATATGCTGATCCTTGGTTTCCATTAGGGACCTCTGCACCTGTGCCAAGAACCAGGTACAAAACCGGCAACATGAAAACAGCTATGTACACTCAGAAAAAAGTATATATGCTATCCTTTGCCCCTACCCATTCCCCACCCAAATACCCCCCCACCCTCCCTCCCACAAACAAGCCCACGTTATAAAATGGTTGCCCCTGAGGCAACAAGGGAAGGGGAGCAGAGGAGAGTTATCATACGTCTGGACCTCCATGTTCATTAGGAGTCTGCACAGAGAATATAGCAAATACGTATATACATTAGAAATACATATACACACCCAGGCCCCACCCCCCAAAACCAAACATCTACTCTACTATTGCCCACTGGGCAACAAGGGGTGGGGAGTATAGGAGATTTTTCATAGAGTCAATCTCAACTTCATTAAGTACCTAAATAATCAAAGAACAAATTCACAATGGAGCTAACACCAACAATGGGCAAAAATATATACACATCAAAAACTCATATTTGGCCTTTTACTCTAAGAAGCCCATCACTCATTAAAAACCCCCAAACAAAAAAAACAAACCTGAGCACAGTGTGGGGCTTGCACACTGCTGCCTATGCACACAGTCTACAGGAAAAGAAACAAAGTTCACTACACTTCTGGGTCTGGACCTCCCATTACATTTGACACCTCCAAGTCCAAACAAAAAACTAGGTTGAGAATTAAAAGAAAACTAGCAAACTTTTACATACATTAAAAAAAAATTACAAGTCAAGCCATCCCCCACTCCCCACCCCAAACTGAAACAACTACTTTACTAGCTATTGCCCAGATGGGCAACAAGGGAAGGGGGCAAGGGAGATTTTTTTCATAGAATGAACCTCAATTTTCATTATGTACCTAAGTATCCACAGAAAACTCTAGGTACAAAATGAAGCACACACACACACCAAAGAGCAAAAACACTTACATACGCTTCTTAAAGTACATACCCCCACCACCCTGTGGGTGCAGGGTAGAGTGAAAAAACTAATCCTAACTACTCTACAGTGATTGCCCCCAGAGGCAATAAGGAAAGGGGAAAGAGGAGATTTTCATACATCCGGACCTCACGTTTCATTAAGTACCTGAACCTTCATGAGAAGGACTGGGTACAAAATGAAGTAATACAATAGTAACAGCAACTGTACACTTGTTTAAAAAAGTATATATATACATCGTCCCTAGGCCCCTCCCACCCCCAAAAAAACTTCAAAAAAATCTAAACTACTTTACAGTTATTGCCCATATGGATAAAAAAGAGAAAAGAGAGGAGATAGTTGTTCATCCAGAACTTTGTGCTTACCAGGGACCCAACGAAGTACTGAAGCAGCAGCAGCAGCAGCAACATACACACACACACACACACACACACACCCCAACCCCAGAAACCAATCAGCAACCGCAACACCAGGCCTCAACCACACCGCCAACACCTGGGACAGGAGGGGCCTGATGCTCTTCACACATCCATGCAATGCATGTAGGAGATAAAATGACCAAAAAAAGGCAGCAAAAACAGTTATACACATTTTAAAAGTACACACCCTCACCATGAAACCACTGCCCACCCACCCTTAGCAAAAGCATCTTCAACAACAACAACAAAAACATCTGAACTACTCCAAAGATATCGCCCACGTGGGCAATGAGAGAGAGGGGAAGGAGGAGATTGTTATACATCCGGAACTCCACGGTTCATCAGGTCCCTTCCAAGCTGGGCACCCAATACATGATGGTCGTCAAAATATATACATATATACACTAAGTACCTGTCCCTGCCTCCCCTCATCCCAACTCCTCCCTCCTCATAAGTACCCTACTGTGACAACTACCCTATTTGCTACTGTGCAACAGGCAACCCAGGATGGGTACAAGAGGAGGCTGGTAGGGAGCCCAACCTCCACATTTCTTCCATCAGGTACTTCCAGGCCCAGATGACAACACAGTACCAATGAGTCAGTAACATACTGTGGGAGCAAGTGTATTTATACTCGGTAAGTCCATGCCCCGCTCTCTCCCACACCCAGAAGCAAACTACGCTAGCAGCTGCTGTGAAAGAGGCAAGAAGGGAAAGGATACACACACACACACACACACACACACACACACACATATAAGCATCCGTGCAAGAAACAAGTATACAAGGAAACATAAGAAAGCAGCATGTCATTTACATATCCTTGGAGGGATGGCCCCAAGTCTAGATTAAGAACAACAGCCACTATGGCTACACTGCCATTCCTGCTCGTGCAGGAGGGAGGAGAAAGGTTGTTGGGACACCTGCCACACGTCTGGACCTCCTGGATGACAGAGTACAAAAAGAAACAGCACTTATAATACAGCAGCAAAACCTCTGGACACATTTTCAGAAGAACATACCCTGCTATCCCCCGACACCATCTCCCCCTTCCAGAACAGGCCCCCAAGGAACTACTCTGTAGCTGTCGACTACACGGGCAATATGGGATGGAAAGGAGAGGTTTTCATAGGATACCATATCATTTTCATCAGGACATTTACATATAAAATATAAAAACATAAAAAGCACATATGTATATTTTAAAGTTACAAATTTCCCCAAAACCACCCAGAGACATCAACCAACGATTCTACTAGCTATTGCCCATGGGAGCAATAAGGAAAGGGAGAAGCAGAGGGATCATACCATCCATTTGGACCTCCACCTTCCACTTGGCAGACACAGAGTAAATGAATGCAAAGTCTAGCAGAAATACATGCCTTTGTTTTATAAAATAGAAACTGGGGGAGGGGATGCAGTTGGGGGTGGGGTTGGGGCTAGAGAGGAAACTCTTTAACAAAGAGTTAATTCCAATAAAAACAAGCCACAGAGGCAAAGTTGGGAAGAGCTACATTGCCGTGATGACCTCAAAGCTTGGACAGACCACATCTGGTTTTGCAACTCCTTTGTCTCCGTGGTGGTGACACCCGAGACACACAGACCTTCCCTGCAGCCCACGGCACAGACAGGGTTTAGCTGAGTGTCCAGCAATCTCATGCTTCAGGTTGGACTCTCAAAACCCAACCCAGTAACAGGCTCTCCAAAACACTCAGCTCTTAACTTTCATTTGCTGTCAATATTCAGAGAGGACTCTGGCACCCGGTAACACTGACAGCTCCAGCGGCAGTGTGCCCACCACTCTTCTGACAGTTCTCTGTTCCTTCAGACCCACACAGTGAGAATGGGTAGGCAAAGAAAACTGCAGGTAAGTGGAGGCTGACATACTAACAAAATGTATGCACACGGAAACAATGAAACACAATTTCACTGAGACTGAAATAGAACAAGATGGAAGAAGGCAAATAGTGGAAGCTCACACTCCTTGGAGAGGAACAGATCTAATCACTTCACATTAGGAGAACAAGCTGGACTTCTCCAATTCCTAGTTTCGTAACCATCATTTTTCTTCTACAACTCTAGGTTTCCCATTCTATCTTTCCTAGTAGTAATCTAGTACGATGTGCTTTTATATTATAGCTGTGCCGAATGTCTCCGCGCAATGGGCAGAACACCTCTTCAGCAAGTGGTCAACAGAGTCATGAATCTCTGTGCTCCCCTGAAATGGCAGACCAAGACTCTTGTGTTGCAGCCTGAGTTCTCCAAACTCGGTGGCTATATAACGTTGGGGCGGGGCTGGGAGTGGGGCTGGCCAGGGGAGGGACTTGGAGAATCACCATTACATTCATTACACTGCAAGTGCTGCCTCTTATTCAACCTTGAACTCCTGACTCAGGGTTAGTTCTAAGACATTCCATGCCGATGGGTTAGCATAACATTAAAAATGATGTTAGCTTAACATTAAAAAATGATGGAATTCTGTGGGAAAAACTGATATGAAGCCTGTTCAAATTACAAATAACTGAGGAGAAGGCTACAAATAAAACCACACACGTTATGGAACTGGTATCATGGGAATGAACAGCCTGTGAGTATGGAGACGGCGATGGGTCACGAGCTACCTCTCTTGAACCTACGATTTGATCTTAGAGCAATGCCCCCACCCCATGCCACACGTACACATTCACAGGACAAAAATGATGTAAGACCAAGACAAGATTTGCCATATGCAGAGTTCACATACATTTCAGAAGCAATGTCAAGAATGGCAGGTAGAACTGATTTTGAGAAGTAGCAAAATTTAAACTCTGTATCAAAGTGGAATTTAGTAATATAATGTGGTAAAAAATCAGCAACCAAAAAAACCTTCAAAAGTAGATTTTTTTCCCCTCATTTTGAAAATATAAAAACTAATTTTCAATATCGACTAAAGTTATCATTCGTTTTCCCAAGCACAAGAGGAATAAAGCCCTACAAACACCTCAGTTTCAGTAAGACACCTTAGACAGCTGTGATGGCCAGGATGCGGTTTCTGCTGTGCAACATAGAGATGGGTGCTTGGAAAAGACCAACTCAGGGGAAAACACACCAGGGTTACAAGAAGGCTATCTTTTAGAGCTTGCCAGCCTTTTAAATTCTGTTATATAAAAATATCTTAATAAAATAAAATATAATTTTATACATAATCCCACAAGTTCTAACTTTATACCTGCTGAATAAAAAAAGGTGACCTCTCCCCCAACGTCTGACTCTGTGGAGTGCTGAAGTGCTCACAAACGGGCAACTATCCTTCCTATGTACATAGAAGCCGTTTTCAAACAAAATACAAACTTCTCAAGAATTATTAGGAAGAAAGCTTTTCTCCTAAGAATCAAAGAAACACAACAATCTAGGTATAAGTCTGCATAGCTCAAAAATTCAAGTACAGTATTTCTCCTTCAGAAGGAGTAAAAATGCCAGAGTTTTGGATATTTTCCCTCATTTTTTTTCTTTCTTTCTTTGGCCACTCCTTTTAATGTTAGTTGGCCACAATAAAAGAAAAGCTGATTTTTTTCTAACTAAAGCAAAGTACTATTTTTGAGAGTGGAAAAAATTCAAAGCCCACCACACGAGAAATATGAATTCAAGGTACTCCTATCCCATCTTCTCTTTGTTCCTTTAAGGTACTATGGTGAACATCAAATAAAAATTTTCAATTTCTCAAAGGCCCTGTTTAAAAATATGCTTCCAATATGCTACTTTATCACAAAACATAAAAGTGCACACATGCACATGATTCAATGATCAGGGATGACAAAAGGCAACTTCAACAAACTGCATTCTTGGTGACCGTGATCAAAGTTATGATGAACAAGACCAGTGTACACAAAATGCTTGCCACAAATGTAGAAAGACTCACCTATAACATAAGGCATGTCTATGGCAGGGAGTGAGACAGAGGTATGGACTTGGGAAATATTGGCATTCATGAATAAAATAATTAACAATGAAAGCCAACTCGTTTTGGAACAATTCCCTATGTAATGCTACAAAAGATGGAAAAAACAGTGTTCACTATTTGGAAAATTTAACCTTTTGGCCTTGTTATTTAGCTTTTCAGTACAACAAAAGTTTAAAAATTCTGTAGCACCTGGCTATTGTGCAGAAAAAAAGCAATAGTTATAGATATTAAACTTCTTCAGAAAACAAAAGGTTAATCAGAACTCCAAATCAAAGTAGATCTGCACACCTGAGATGGGTTCTGGACAGCTGCAGGCTTCCTTGTCTTGGTTACCACTCTCGGAGGCTAACTTGGTGCCACAGCCCAGTAACATCTACCAACAAGAAGCGGCAGATGGCTGAGGCGCCAGTGGCCCGCAAAGATGGTGGCTCTTAACGGTAGACTTGATCTTGTTTCACTGCGTCAGAACCTTTCTGGATACTGAGACACAGAACAGAATTTCCAAACTGATGTTTCCCCTCTCATTTGTGTATCTTCAAAGTAGAAAAATTACTCATCATTTTTGTAGACAGTTGGCATATAGGTGAACGTACATTTGTAATAAATAACTACACACTGCCCAAAGACACTTTAGAAAAGACAGATGAGAAACACAGTCGGGCCCTGAGCTAACTACAACTCCTAACAGTGCAAACAACTTGGCAGCGGGCCTGGCTTCACCGTGGCTTTTGCAAAAGCAGCAGAGCCCAAGTTCACAAGCTCTCCAAACGGGTGACAAAACGAGGGGCTGCGCATGCTACAGCCACCACCGCAGAGTCTGGAGGTTCTTCTTCACCCACTGGATGTTCAACTGGATGATCTCCAAAGCCTCCCGGACACAACGGAGCTGGAAGGTTGCCTCCGACTGATTCTCAAAGAATGCCTGCACCTGTAAGTTCCACAGAGACGTGGAAGAGAATTTAAGAGGTTTATTGTCCTTTTCAAGCAAGCGTCAAGTTAGTGATGGCTATGCTGGTATCTTGAAAACAGCAGAAAGAAACTTGTTACCTCAAGGACCCACACGGAATTCTGAATTCTCCTTATCTGCACAAGAATGAATTTTTCTAACTTAAAATAGAAAAAGGGGGGGGGGCAGGCATTTGGTGCAGCAGTTAAGACGCTACTCGGGATGCCTGCATCCTATACTGGAGTGCCTGGGTCTGAGCTGTGGTTCCACTTCTGATTCCAGCTTCCTGCTTATGAGGAACCTGAGAGGCGGCAGGGGCGAGATCAAGCACCTGGGTCCCTGTCACTCACGTGGGAATGAGTTCTCGGCTCCTGGCTTTGGCCTGGCCCAGCTCTGGCCGTTCAAGCTGTTTAGAGAGTGAATCACCAAATGAAAGCTTCTCTCTCTCTCTTTCAAATAAATAATAAGAAAAACCTATCTAGTAACAATAAATAGAGTCTGAAGTTAGGCTTGGCTCTATAAATTCACCTTTCAATTGGATTCTCCAAAAACAGTTTTATGACCACTTAAATTATTTATATTGCTGAGAGCAGCATCCAAGTTTTCCTCCTTACCATGTAGAAGTAATCTCGGTGCAGAATCATTAACCCTGATGAGGCCAGCAGAGAAGGCAGGAATTCCCACTAAAGGTCACCCTCTCAAACAAACTGCGCAGCCTGGGGGACATGGCTACCCAGCCCCCTCCACACATTTTATAGAACCCACCTCAGACAAATGGGCCTTTGTTGAAAACAGGTGAGTTGATCCTGCAACAATACTTTGTATGGTATAGGAGCCCAGGTGGAACCTGAAGAAACACAAAGACAAGAGTTAAAAAATTGAGACAGTTGCTGGGCAAGCAGAGCACAAAGGAGATGCCTTCCTGCCAGAGAGTGGAGCCTATCCTGGGACTGCAGTCCAGGGAGTCAGTGGTGGGCAGAAAAAGGGAGGAGCTCAGGATATCCAGAGAAGTCACTAATCCATTTCATCTCCTGACAGATCAGATCACACTCCCAGAAATGTCACTGTGGCTTTATTTATTTATTTATTTATTGACAGGCAGAGTGGATAGTGAGAGAGAGAGACAGAGAGAAAGGTCTTCCTTTTTTGCCGTTGGTTCACCCTCCAATGGCCGCCTCAGCTGGTGCGCTGCAGCCGGCGCACCGCGCTGATCTGAAGGCAGGAGCCAGGTGCTTATCCTGGTCTCCCATGGGGTGCAGGGCCCAAGGACTTGGGCCATCCTCCACTGCACTCCCGGGCCACAGCAGAGAGCTGGCCTGGAAGAGGGGCAACCGGGAAAGAATCTGGCGCCCCGACCGGGACTAGAACCCAGTGTGCCGGCACCGTTAGGTGGAGGATTAGCCTAGTGAGCCGCGGCGCTGGCCTACTGTCGCTTTAAAAGACACAAAGGAAGAAACTGACATGTGCTGTCTAGCTGGGTGTGAGCTCTTAACTGACGCCTAGGAAATGAGGTATTTTCAACCCACAAGGGCCTGCAGCCACACTGAGCTGAGCGGACCCGGCAACAGCCGTGGCTGGGCAGGACCAGGACTTTCGCACAACACTAGGGTCACATGATTCACGCAATGGGACTGTGTTGACAAACGTGAACACTTCTGGATGTTTCAGTTAAACAGTCACAGAAGCATCTGTCTGTCACAGCAAGTCCTAACTCCCACGAACCAACACAACACTGGGAACTACTTCTAGGAACACCACTGGAGAACGCTGAACGTCAGTAATTCGCTGACAAACTTACTTCTGTACAAGCTCATTCCAGTTCTCTTTGACAAAATCCCACGCCAACAAGTGTCCAGGAAAATGCCGGCCCACTGTTCGGATGATAAACGACAGCTTTTGTGTTCGGATGATATCTCCATCAAGGCTAGTCTTCATCAACCTGAAGAGCAAAACAGATCCAGCCTCCAAAACAATTATTCACAAAGAGCAACACCTGAACCTAAGTTAGGATTGGTTTCCCGATTAAAGTTCTAGAGTAATTAAAGGAAAGTAAATGTTGAGTAGTCTAAGACTCTTCACTCGTGATTTTTTATTTTAATGAAAGGTGTTTACAAATGCTGACAAACAACAACAGCTTTTGATCCAAGGATATTTGGGGAAAAAATAGACAGAAGGGCCGGCGCTGTAGTGTAACAGGTAAAGCTGCCGCCTGCAGTGCTGGCATCCCATATGGGTGCCGATTTGAGTCCCAGCTGCTCCAATTCCAATCCAGCTCATTGCTAGGGTCTGGAAAAGCAGTAGAAGATGGCTCAAGTCCTTGGGCCCCTGCACCCATGTGGGTGACCCAGAAGAAGCTCCTGACTCCTGGCTTCGAATCAGCACAGTTCTAGCCATTGCAGCCATTTGGGGAGTGAACCAGTAGGTGGAAGACTTCTCTCTCTCTCTGCCTCTGCCTCTCAAATAAATAAATAAATCTTTTTAAAAAATGTTGATGGAATTTATTACCATTCTGGAGACTTTTTTTTTTTGGTAAACACCTTATTTGATTTGAGCAGGCAGGTGTATTACGTTAATACTCCTAAAAAGCTGAGCTGTTTGAATGATCTGACAATGAAGATACACTTCAGAAGGTGCTCTTCCTGGGGCAGGCGCTGACTCTAGCAGTGAAGACATCGTGACCCACAGCAGCACCTGGATTTTATGTGTCGCTCTTAACCTGCGTTTCCTGACAACGCAGATGCTGGCAGGCGGCAGTGATGGCTCAAGTGATTGGGTCCTTGACACCTATGAGGGAGACCTGGATTGTGTTCTGGCTTCTGGCTTCAGTGCTGGCCCAGCCTGAACTGTTGTAGTCATTTGGGGAGCAAACTGGCAGAGGGGAGCTTTCTGTCTCTCAAATAATTTTTTAAAAAGAACACACTCTTATTAATTAATATTAGTAACTGGTAATTAATATAACCAGTTGGTATTATATTGATACTATGTACTAGATATTGTTCTAAATCCCTGACAATACTATGGACTAGGCGTTTATGACCCATTTCCTTTTTACAGACAAAGAAACTGAAGTTATGTAACTGTCCTCCAGTTAGGCAGCTAACAAGTACTAAAGGTTGGCATCTGATTGTTAACTGTTCTCACCTACTATGCTATACCATCCTATCCACGTAGCAAGAAAACACACATCTGACAAAGAGACTCAAATGCCCAACAAATTGTGATGGGTAAATAAATCACGACAGCTCCACGCTATGGAGTACTACGAACCACAAAAACATGAGGTAGGCTACATGAAGAAACATGGTACATCTCACAGACACTTCACTAAAAGAATGCCACAAAACACTGGGTACGGTAGAAAGCTATGTGGTTGAACAGGTTCAGCATCCCTTATCTGAAATGCTTAGGGACAGAAATGCGTCAGATTTCCAATTCTTTGCATTAGGGGTGCTCAGCACAGACCAGGTCAGACACTGCTAACAGAGAGAAGAAAATGAGAACGGGAGGGAAGGATCAGGAGGGGTCTTCCACGTTGTTCTCACATCCTTAGACACCATTTGAACACTTTACAGTGGGAATTTATTAGTGTGTTACTAGTGTATATGTGTGTTTTAAAATATATTTGTTTGAAAAGCGAGAGACATGGGGGCGGGAGGAGGAGGTGAGAGCAGTGTCTCTTATCTCTCATCCACATCCACCAGTTCACTCCTCGAATGGCTACAACAATTGGGTCCCGGCCAGGTCAAACTCCATCCAGGTCTCCCATATGGGTGGCAGGTGCCTCACCAGGCATGTTAGCAGGGAGCTGGACTGGCAGCTGAGCAGCCAGGACTTCAGCCAGCACTCCAATATGAGATGCGGGCATCCCAAGAAGAGACTTAACCTGCTGTGCCACAATGCCCGTCCCTGCCGATGCAATTTTTTTTTTTTTTTTTTTTTTTAATTTTTTTGACAGGCAGAGTGGACAGTGAGAGAGAGAGACAGAGAGAAAGGTCTTCCTTTGCCGTTGGTTCACCCTCCAATGGCCGCTGCGGCCGGTGCGCTGCAGCCGGCGCACCGCGCTGATCCGATGGCAGGAGCCAGGTGCTTCTCCTGGTCTCCCATGGGGTGCAGGGCCCAAGCACCTGGGCCATCCTCCACTGCACTCCCTGGCCATAGCAGAGAGCTGGCCTGGAAGAAGGGCAACTGGGACAGAATCTGGCGCCCCAACCGGGACTAGAACCCGGTGTGCCGGCGCCTCTAGGCGGAGGATTAGCCTAGTGAGCCGTGGCGCCGGCCCCCTGCCGATGCAATTTAAAAACAAAAACTCTTCTCTATTTGCAGAGGTCAGAGGCTGGTGGCCACTGTAAAAAGTGTTCGCTGACAGTGCACTGAAGAATGTGGGACTAGCAGGTGCTGAGAACATCTCTGAGACACCATCAGGATTCTACTGAACAAAACTACGTGAGAGAAGCAGAGACCTGGGACCTTCTGTGTCCTTTACACCAGACACCTCCATATTCTCCTCTCTGCCACCCGCACTGTTGGGGGGGTCCTGTTGAGCCCACCTTGCTGCCCTTCCTTCTCTCACATGGGCCTTTACTGGCAAGATACTGACAAGGAAAAGTCTGGCACATAAATTCACGTGAAAGCAGAGCCACGCGCTTTGACATGTTATTTTTTTCCTGAAGTGTCTACATTTCCAAGATGACAGTGTGAAAAGAACAAAGCCTTGGCCCCCCAAAATAAACCACTGACTATGGGGTTTAAGAGCACATGGCAAGGGGAGGGGGAGCAGGGAGTTGGCCGGGGCTGTGCTTCCCGACAGCTGCCAGCGCTTCTGGGCAGTGCGTGTGCGACCCATGTGGAAAGGCTCAGTCCCCAGGACAGACCCGCCCGAGAGGCTCCTCACCCCACCGTGCGGGTCAGACTCCTCAGGTGCTTTCTTACCAGTAAAGTCTCCGTACATCCTCTGAGCTGGCAAGAGCTTCCAGGATTTTGTTCTTCTCTGCTTCAGAGCCCATGGAGACGTACTTGTTCAACAGGAACGTCCAGCCTTTGTCTGTCTTCGCTCCCACTTTGAACACAGTGGTCATGACATCAGCAGGCAGGCTGTGGGAGAGGTGGTCCAATGGGAGAACAAGAAAACACAATGAGCACAAAGGCAGTAGTGGTGTGGGTTGGCGTCAGGGCGGTAATGACTACAAGTCTTCATGGCATGATTTACAGTAGAGACAGGTTAATTTCCTAGAGGTATGACTTACAGAAAGAATATCAGTCCACCTGAAGACAAAGAGCGCTCACAAAGGAGTAGCAAGGTATCTGGCTGGATGCTGGGAAGCAGAAGGGTCGGGGAGGAGGAAGGAGAGGGCAAGGGGAAGAGGAGACCCCTGCTCTCAGGAACTCAAAGCCAGGAACAGTTAGTGACTTGGTTATACCATAGTGTGCTGGACACCACACAGTAGTCCATGAGGAGGATACAGGGTGTGGGAAGAGGGGATGAACCCACCCTACTGTCTTTCCCAACATCTCAGAGCCGAGAAGTCCATCCCCTTTCGCCACCCCAACTCCCCATCTGAAGCCTGAACCCTTTCGTTGTAACTCCAGTAAGGGACCTGCAGAGAGCCCATCAGCAGCCAAAGCATTTGCTGTCACCTCTAGCTATGATGTCTTATTCCCACACTGAAAGATGGTTTGTCCCCTCACACCCATGAGAACGACTACCATCAAAAAAAATTAGAAAACGACAAGTGTTGGAGAGGAACACCGCACTGCTGGTGGGAACATAAAATGGCATAGCTGCTATGGAAAACAATATAGCAGTTCCTCAAAAATGAACACTTCTGGGTATATATTCCAAAGAACTGAAAGCAGAATTTCAAAGAGGCATCTCTTTGTACACCCAGTATTACTCGCAACCACCACAAAGTAGAAGCAACCCAATGGTCTGCGCAGGAATGAATGGCTAAACACAATGTGGCATATTCCACTTTTTTTTTTACTTATTTTTTTAAAGATTTTATTTATTTATTTGAGAGGTAGAGTTACAGACAGTGAGAGGAAGAGACAGAGAGAAAGGTCTTCCTTCCGTTGGTTCACTCCCCAAATGACCACAACGGCCGGAGCTGCGCCTATCCGAAGCCAGGAGCCAGGAGCTTCTTCCTGGTCTCCCACACGGGTGCAGGGGCCCAAGCACTTGGCCCATCTTCTACTGCTTTCCCAGGCCATAGCAGAGAGCTGGATTGGAAGAGGAGCAGCTGGGACTAGAACTTGCGCCCATATGGGATGCTGGCACTGCAGGCAGAGGATTAACCTACTGTGCCACAGTGCCGGCCCAGAAATGTTCCACTTTAAAAAGACAACTCTGATACATGGTACAACGTGGGTGAAACTTGGGCTAGTAAGCTAAGTCATTAAAAAAAAATTCTGTATGATTTCATGTACATGAGGATACTTCAGAAAGTTCAGAGAAAGGGGCCAGTGTTGTGGTTCAACAAGCTAAGCTGCTGCCTACAATGCTGGCATCCCATCTGGGCACTGGTTTGAGTCTTGGCTGCTCCACTTCTGATCCAGCTACCTGCCAACATGGATGGTGTGAGTGCTTGGGCCCCTGCTATTTATGTAGGAAACAAGGACAGAGTTCCAGGCTCTTGACGTTGGCCTGGACCAGCCCTGGCCACTGAGGCCATTTGGGGAATGAACCAGAGAATAGATCTCTTTCTTTCTGTCTCTCCCTCTCTGAAACTCTGCCTTTCAAATAAATAAATCTTCTTTAAAAAATTCATAGATAAATTAAAAGGTGCTTATTTTGATGCAAAAAACTTTGAAATGTAGTTTATTTCATAATAGTCATTTTCTATCAGCTTTATGAAGATGCCTTCTTGAAGTACCTAGAGTAGTGAAACTAATAGAAACAGGAAGTAGGATAGTGGTCACCAGACTAGGTGAGGAGGACATGGGAAGAGTTTCAGTTTTGCAAGACAAAAAGTCCTGGACATTGGTGCACTACAATGTGAATATACTTTATACTGCTGAGCTGTACACTAAAATAATGAAAGGTTAAGGTTATAAATTTCATGTTATGTGTCTGTGTGTTTGACCATATTCTTTTTATTGAAGTCTTGCTTGAGAACACGGATGTGTAGATTCCACCTATATTAACACGCAGCTTTCTAACATGTAGGGTAAAGTAGAGGAAAGGATCGACAGCAGGACACTTTACCTCTCAGTTCCATTTGATGCCACCCAACTGTCAAACAGCTTCATGGCTGTGGCGCTGCAGTTCTCCAGGTTGTGGGCACAAGCAAATTCTAGCAAGACTGACCGAAGTTCCCGCATGGATGGGGTGCCCTCGTCTGTCCAAGTTTGCTGTTGGATTTGGTTTTGAAGCAATTTAAATACTCTGCTCTAGAGAAACAAAATGGATTATAATGGACAATCAGAAAAACCAGGACAACTACATTCTCTTTTCCACAACATTTACCCAAGGAAGAAAAAATGGGCATAAACAATACTTATTAAATATCAACCATATGAAGCTAACATACAGCTAGAATAAGGCCATTCAATAACAAAGCTAGCAACACAGTTAATGATGTAACTAGAAAGAACTAATGACTTCTGTGCAGTAGCAACCTTTATTCTTTGTTTACATACCTAGAAGTTACTTTCCTAACAAGAAGGAAATGTATAACTAGTGTTGGATGGAACTAGAACTCTCTGACACTGCGACTTTAGAATCCACAAACCCACAAAAAACAATGAGAGAAAACTATGCTTCTTTACTGATGGCTAATGTTTAAATGTTTCTGCATCCAATATCAAAAATATTTTTAACACATTAACTAGTATAATACTGTAACAAATTAGTCTAACTGAAATAACAAGAAAATGAGGAGTTCAGGAAAGAATAGTTGTTTATAGTTTATGTTTTTATTCTAATTTTTTATTTAAAAGTCTTCAAACCAATGAAACAGATGCAAGAACAACACAGTGAACATCCATCCATATATTATTCATCTAGACTTAACTGATTTTTAATACTCTGACATTGCTTTGCTTTTGTGTGTATATAACACACATACATACACACTTGTTTGTGTGTGTGTGTCCCTTTTTAAAAAAAATATTTATTTATTTATTTGAAAGTCAGAGTTGCAGAGACAGAGGGAGAGGCAGAGAGGTCTTCCATCTGATGGTTCACTCCCCAAATGGCCACAGTGGCCAAAGCTGGGCCAGGCCAAACCCAGGAGCTTCATACAGGTTTCCCACATTGGTGGCAGGGGCCCAAGCACTTGAGTCATCTTCTGCCACTTTCCCAGGCCATTAACAAGGAGTTGGATTGGAAGCGGACCAGCCAGGACACGAACCAGCACCCATATGGGATGCTAACACTGCAGGTGGTAACTTTACTCACTATGCCACAATACTGGCCTATTTTGATTTTAAATGAACCATATAAGTTACAGACATCAAGATATCTCATTTATAAATATTTTAATATGCCATTCCCAGAAATTTGGAGACTCTCCTACATAACTGTAACATCTTCTCACCCTTAAGAAGATTAACAATTACTCAGTAATATTATCTACTTTCCAGTCCAATGCTACAGCCACTTCTAAATGGGATGTTGTTGTTAAATGTATACTTGTGGCATAAGGAATCCGTGAACAAGACTTTCCTCTCCTCCACAATGAAAGCTGCCCAGTATTTCCATACTGCAAATTGTTACGCATGGGGAGGGGTGACGACATGTGGGATTTAAACAGCCACCTTAGGAAACATGCATATGAACACACTTAGAAGAAACAAAAATTCCAATATAAAACATGTTTTCAGGCATTTTTTTAAGGAAAGCGTCATGGCTACACAAAGGGTCTTCAAAAAGTTCATGGAAAATACTTACTGTGAAAAAAAACTATGCCCGGATTTCAAATATTTTGCAGCAAAATAAACTTTTTTCATTCCATTTTTTGTGAACTTTCTGAAGTATCCTTATATATAAGGAGGACCAAAATGGAAACGATGCAGATACCTGCTCTCTGCTGAGCCCTCAACATTATTTTCCTCCAGAACACCACTGCCAATACCTAGCACAAATTCTGTTTGGAGATTTTCTAACTGTTGAGGGCATTAAAGCTTCTTTTGGAGCTGAATGGGAACATGGCCAGAAGAACCCACGCAAGGTGAAGGACGGGAAGCTGTGATGCAGCTGGGGTGGAGAAACTCTGCCATCAGACTGACACGGGAAGAGTGCAGGAGCGACGCAGGGCGCCACGGTGCACAGCGGACTGCACAGGTACGTGCTACCTTCCAGGGGCCTTACCTTTTCAGCAGTGCAATGATAGCTAACTATCCCAACTAACTGAGCAATAAATTTAAAAGCTACTCCTAACTGTCAAGCAGAGCAAAGGAAGAATGTGAGAAAAAAAGCTACATGCTTAAAACCCTATTAAAAAAAAAAAAAAAAACTCAGCAGATGACGCTAGTGCACCATGGCGTAGAAGGGTAAGCCGCTGCCTGTACTGCTGGCATTCCATATAGGGGTTGGTTTGAGGCCTGGGCTGCTCCGCTTCTGATCCAGCTCCCTGAAAATGTGCCTGGGAAAGCAGCAGAAGATGGCCTAAATCCTTGGGCGCCTGCCACCCACATGGGTGCCTGCCACCCACATGGGAGACCCAGAAGAAGCTCCTCGGCTCCTGGCTTTGGCCTGGCCCAGCTCTGGCTGATAGTCATTTGGGGGGTGAACTGGTGGATGGAAGATTTCTCTCTCTCTCTCTCTCCCTCTGTATCTCCACATTTCAAGTAAATAATCTTAAAAAAAAAGAAAAAAACAAAAACAAACAAACAAACAAAAAAAAAAAACAAAGAAAGAAAGGGCTGGCGCCGTGGCTTACTAGGCTAATCCTCCGCCTGTGGCGCCAGCACCCCGGGTTCTAGTCCCAGTCAGGGCGCTGGATTCTGTCCTGGTTGCTCCTCTTCCAGTCCAGCTCTCTGCTGTGGCCCGGGAAGGCGGTGGAGGATGGCCCAAGTGCTTGGGCCCTGCACCCGCATGGGAGACCAGGAGGATGTACCTGGCTCCTGGCTTCGGATCGGTACAGCGCGCCGGCCGTAGTGGCCATTTAGGGGCTAAACCAACGGAAGGAAGACCTTTCTCTCTGTCTCTCTCTCTCACTGTCTAACTCTGCCTGTCAAAAAAATAAACAAATAAAAAATAAAATAAAAAAAGAAAGAAAAATGACAGTACTTACGGATACTTTACCAAAGAATCTGTGGGAAAATGTCCCTTTAAACTATTGACACTTGAAGAAGCTAAGGCAGTTACACTACAGACATGACATACAGGGTATAATTTGGCTACTACCTGTGCCAAAGTATTAACAGGAAGTCTCAAAACAGTTGATTTTAAATATATATCAAATTACTACATAATAGAAAAATATTGGACTTCAAAACAATTCTATCTTTAGAAAAAACTATTACAACATATGATCATTTTAAAGTAATCCAGGTTATATAAATATATATATTAAAATATTTATTGGTTTTGAAAGTCAGAGTTACAAAGAGGGAGGGACAGATAGATGGAGAAGGATCTTCCATTTGCTGGTTCACTCCTCAAATGGCTGCAATGGCCAGGGCTGGGCCAGGCCAAAGCCAGGAGCCAGGAGCTTCTTCTGGGTCTCCTACATGGGTGGGAGGGGCCCAAACACTTGGCCTATCCTCCACTGCTTTTCCCAGGCCATTAACAGGGAGCAGGATCAGAAGTGGAGCAACTGGGACATATGGGATGCCAGCATCAAAGGCGATGGTTTTTACCCACTATGCCACAGCACCCACCCTCAGGTTGTATTTTTTAATATTAATTAACAAAGCACAGCATATGCTTGAAATTATTTCTCTGTTTTAGGAACAAAATGAAACTTGCTTTTCCACAGTTACATGTAACTCTTTTGAAAATTAAGTTCATTAGAGTCCAATCCCATGATTTCATAAAGCGAGGGTGTCACAAAGGAATACAGGATAAACTGACGGGATCTATAAGGCATGAACACTGGCTATGCAGCAAAATACAACACCACCATCAAATAATTTTAAAAATAAAAGATGTTGGCACTTTTGTGTATTACATTTTGATTTACTGCTTTAATTTTCCATGGATACACCGAGGGAGTTCTCTCCTGGGTCAACTGAGTTTGTTAAAAGCAAAATGTCAGCTTTTATTGCAAAGGCTTATCCCACCAATGCATCGTGTAAGACAATGACAGATTTGTAAGTGATAAAACAGGAATATGGTTAGGATCATATGTGAACAAGTTAACACAATTCAAATGTGCCTCCTGACCCTACCCACCACAGTACCACAGCATACATCACAGAATGCAGCACTCATCACAGAATGGTCAGCAGACACAGGGCTCTGGCTATAATGACAATAAAGTGAATTAGGTGACATTCTTAAACATTTGAACATTAAATCCAAGGACTCAGAAATATCTGTCATTCTAAGTACAGAGGGTCAGACCGCATTGTTTGAGAGCTGAATGCCCAAGACTAGAATCAGAACTAAGGAGACAGGTTCTCCCCGGTGATGAACTAAAGCTAACTTGACTTCTAAGTAACAATATGATCTGTACCAGTGAAAGGGCCTCTGTCTTAGATACACACACTAAGCTTTCTGTCCTTGCCCTCTATCCATCAATGCCATCAGTGCCCTGGACCCCAGCATGAAGTATGGGCCTAACAAACATACTCCCTCCCAGAAAAGCAGAACTCAGCCAGGATGAAGACATAGGGGATGGACAGCTACTTGAGTATCAACAGGAAAGTGTTCCAAAGGCTCAACTCCTGGAATTGACTTTAGCATTCATATCTCAGCATGCTGAGGTAGGTGCCAAGTGCTTCCTGAGAACTAAATCCTAAACAGAGATAATGGAGATAGGGGTCAGACTCACTTCTATCGTGAAACCCAGTGGGGCAGCTTCAGAGTAGGCAGACATTCCACTCGACTTAGGGTATATCTGGAAGCAACACTGTCCTTAATAATGGGAAAAAAATGAGTGCTACATTCGAATCTTTTGTTTTTTGAAAGGCAGGGAAACAGGGATAGCAAAAGAGATGGAGTAAAAGAAAGAGCTCCCATCTGGTTCATTCCCCAAATGTTGACAACAGCTACGGCTGGGCCATGCCAAAGCCAGGATCATGAACTCACTCCAAGTTTCCCATGCGGGTAACAGAGATCCAATACTTGAGCCATCACCTGCTCAGGGTACACACCAGCAGAAACCCAGAATCGGAAGTAGAGCCAAGTCTTGAATTCAGGCACTCCAAAATAGGATGAGAGTGTTCCAAGCAGTGTCCTAACCACTAGGCCAAATACTTGCTCCTGTACTAGTCTGTTGTTATTGCTGCTTATACTGGGTTGAATAGTGTCTCTCAAAATTCGTATCATCTTAGACCCTGAGAATATTGCCTTTTTGGGAATAAGGTATTTGCAGATGAAATCAAGTTAAGATGGGGCCATACTGGGCCTTGGTGGTGGGCTCTAATCCAAAGATTCAGGTCCTCATAACAACAGGGAAACGTGGACACAAACTCCTGGGAAACCAGCATGTGGGCAGAGGTACAGATTAGAGAGAGATTCGTACAAGCCAAGGAATCCTAGTACTGCTGAAGTCGGAAACAAGCACAGATTCTCCCTTAGAAGGAACAACCCCGATCAACCAAAATCTTGATTCTGCCTTTCTCATTTCCAGAACTTTGAGAGAATACATTTCTGATATTTTAAGACACCAAGTTAGTAATAATTTGCCTCAGCAGTCCTAGGAAATGAATATACTATACAAAATGGTTTTGATTTGATAACAATCCCTTCAACAATAGTTCTAGAGTTCAAGATATACACATTCCATGAAATACCCTGGACACCCATTTCAAAACAAAACAAAACAAAACAAAAAAAACAATGAAATGGTATCTACCTTACATCATACACAAAAATCAATCCCAGACTGATCACAGACCTAAATGTAGAGGTAAAATACTAAAGTTTTCATAAAGAATATAGAATATTTTAGAGTAGGCAAAGATTTCATAAACTACACTACATTTAAATTGAGAATGTATACACTCAAAAGCATCACTAAGATAGTGAAGGCAAGTTAGAGTGGAAGGAGATAGTACAAATATATGCGACTGACAAAGGATGCATACCAAGAATATATAAAGAATGCTTACAAATCAGTAAGAAAAAACACAATTTTGGGGCCGGCGCTGTGGTGTAGTGGGTAAAGCTGCTGCCTGCAATGCCAGCATCCCATATGGCTGCTGGTTCGAGACCTGGCTGCTCCACTTCCAATCCAGCTCTCTGCCATGGCCTGGGAAAGCAGCAGAAGATGGCCCACATCCTTGGGCCCCTGCACTTGCATGGGAGATCTGGAAGAAGCTCCTAGCTTTGGATCGGCATAGCTCTGGCCGTTGTGGCTAATTGGGAAGTAAACCAACGGATGGAAGACCTCTCTCCCTCTCTCTCTGCCTCTCCTTCTCTCTCTGTGTAACTCTTTCAAGTAAAATAAATAAATCTTAAAAAACAAAAAAAAAAACAAAAAAAACCCACAATTTACAGGCCAGCTCTCTGCTATGCCCTGGGAGTGCAGTGGAGGATGGCCCAAGTGCTTGGGCCCTGCACCCCATGGGAGATCAGGAGAAGCACCTGGCTCCTGCCTTTGGATCAGCGTGGTGCGCTGGCCGCAGCATGCCAGCCGCGGCGGCCATTGGAGTGTGAACCAACGGCAAAGGAAGACCTTTGTCTCTGTCTCTCTCTCTCACTGTTCACTCTGCCTGTCAAAAACAAACCAAAACAAAAAATAAAAAACACAATTTAATGGAAAAATAAGGGAAGGAGTTGGGTATTTCACAAACAAGAACACTGACTAATCAACAAGCCTATCAAAAGGTATTCATCTTCACTAGTCAGTAAGAAAATGCAAACTAAAGCCAAAACTGTAATACTAGTACACATTCTTGGAATGGCAAAAAGAAACCAGATTTACTATGAATAGTAAGTGTCAGCAATGAAACAGAGCATCTAGAATTCTTATACACTGCTGATATGAGTCTAAACAGGTACCACTCAGAAAAACTATTTTACAGTATTCACTATGCATATATTATGACTTAGTAATTTCACTTTCAGACATGTACCCCACTGAAGTGCATACAGAATTTAAACACATAAGAATATTTATGCAATGCTACCCTTAATAGCTTCAAATTGCAAATAACCTAAAAGTCCACCAATGGTAGTCAAACTGGCTAACAAATAAGCCACTCTCTTAATCATATCAACAGTAAAAAGCCTAGCTGGTTTCTAAGCCATAAAGAGATTAGTAAATTATCTGTTATACTTCTTGGAAATGTACATAAATACTATTTTTAAAATACTGTTATTAATGTTAGATAGAAATTTCATAATTTTCAAAAAAACCCAGATGTGAGTCTGTAATTTAAACATTAAAGGCATGTTTTTCTATTGGTTTTAATGTAAAGAATCTCAGTTTTAAAAAGCAAATATTAGGGCAGGCATTTAGCACAGTGGTTAAGATACCATTTGGCGGCCAGCGCCGCGGCTCACTAGGCTAATCCTCCGCCTTGCGGCGCCGGCACACCGGGTTCTAGTCCCGGTCGGGGCGCCGGATTCTGTCCCGTTTGCCCCTCTTCCAGGCCAGCTCTCTGCTGTGGCCAGGGAGTGCAGTGGAGGATGGCCCAGGTGCTTGGGCCCTGCACCCCATGGGAGACCAGGAAAAGCACCTGGCTCCTGGCTCCTGCCATCGGATCAGCGCGATGCACCGGCCGCGGTGGCCATTGGAGGGTGAACCAACGGCAAAGGAAGACCTTTCTCTCTGTCTCTCTCTCACTGTCCACTCTGCCTGTCAAAAAAAAAAAAAAAAAAAAAAAAACCATTTGGGATGCCCACATTTCATATCAGAGTGCCTGGTTCAAGTCCTGGCTCTGCTTTTGATTCCTGCTTCCTGTTAATGCGCACCCTGTGAGGCATGAAGTGCTAGCTCTAGTCCTTGGACCCCTGCAACCCATGTGGAACACAGACTGAGCTCCTCACTTCTTGGCTTCAACCTGGCCCAGTCTTGGGCTGTTGCAAGCATCTGGGGAGTGAACCTGTGAATGGAAGTTATCTGTCTTTACCTTTCAAATCGAATGAAAAATTAATGAATAAAAATAAAAAGGAAGATTTCTTTTCTTTAAAAGCAGCTGCTCTTAAAAATGTGACATCAAGAAATAAAGCTTTAATTTTTCTAACCAAAGGTATCCTGGAAAGATGACACTGCTGCAATATAGACATTTAACCTAACACAAAGGGTAGGCTTTGGAATGAAACTCACAGCTTTATGGTTTACTAGGGTAACGACTTTGCAGAAATCACCTACTGGGGGCACAAATACCTACCTTTGCATTGTGTGGAGAGTGAATGGGGTGATCCACATTAAGCACTACGCATGGTGTGCAGAATGTAATAACCACCAAAATGCATTTGTTTCTGGTATGTTTCACTCATTTATTTGTTCAACATTTACTGAGTGTTACCATGGGCCAGGTCATATTCCAGGCACTGGTTTTTATTAAGGCTGCTAGTTGAAAGCCTTATAAAATAGAAAGTGATAAAAATCTTAACCATTAGAGGAGATTTCAGAAATCATCCAACTTAAGAATCTCATTCATTGGTAGGGATGGGTGCCTCCTTGTGGGGTCAGATCAGAACCTTGGGGGGAGGGGTGCATTTCAAGCTCCATATGGCCCATCTGCCCTGCACTCTTTACCCCCTCCCGCCCCCGCACTGAGAACCATACATGTGAAGAGAGAGCTCAGCATGGAAGACTGCACATGTGAGGACAACAAAGGCAGAAAACAGCCTGCTCTAAAAAAATGATTTGATCCAATCCCTTCCCCTTTCCAGTGAGGACACTAAACCCCTGAAGTACTTTTCCTAATTGCTGGTCCAGAACTTACTTCCTTTATCTGAAAGCTGCCTTCTGCCTGGGTTCCAGAAACCCCGATCTATACAGCAAACCCTGTTGTCAGAATGTGCTGATAGAGAACTGGATACAAAGAATTTATCACTCCTTCCCCCAAGTTTTTAAAGATTCAGTCAACAGTTTAATGTGACTAAAATGACAGCTATTAAGATCAGGCCTTGGCTTTTAGGGAAGGTAAATGAGTCTGCAATGTCAAGACTCCTTCAGTGTCTGCCAAGAAACCTCTACCCAGCAGCGCCATGACCATGAGCTAGGGGTTGGCAAGGACTTCTAAAGAGAATATTCTCAATCATTCTACAACTGCCACTAGGAACTTACTTTGCAAAAGGGCCTGTTTCAAGCATTCTTTGTATACAAGTAAAACAAGACTTTCAGAAAATTGTTTTCATGTGACCTCACTTTGACAGCAGTGCCAAAAGTCTGTATTTTGATATTCAAACAAGACCACATCACACTAAACCTTTATTAATTCTTCATGACAAACCATTCCATTTGGATTTGAAGTTACAGATTCTACAAACAGGAAACTGAAGAAAAGTGGAATTTTAACTGGCTGCTTTCTCAGCCTGTTCCTGGTTGAATAGTTATCAAAGGCAAGCAACAAAAGCAGCTGGCAGAAAGGCGAACTTACCACCAGTCTTGAGGCCAGATCCATGTGCCCCAGTTTTTCAAGGAGGTTATAGATGAGGCCTGTCTGGAACAGAGCTTCCGTGATAGGTGCAGTATGGGTCTCATTTCCAAGATAATCAATCAAATCGAATGCCCTCCTAAGAGGCACCTTGCCCAGGCTAAAGGATTAAAGAACAGGAAAAGTAAATATGCAGAGACACACACAAGACCTCTATGCACCATGCTGAGAGAGAAACTATGGCTGGATGGATGGTGAGCCTAGAAAACTGAAGGTTTCAATACAGAGTAAAATCAGACACAAAGTTACTGTCTGTGATTAAGTCCACATGGCTGAAGGTTAAAGATGTATTTCAAGAGAAAGATAAATATAGATCAGTTTTTATTCCATAAGTCATCTGTAAACTGCTACTGATTTAGGATTATATATGAATCAGGATTATGTATTCAGGATTATTATATTATATAAAAGGATTATAATGTCTTAGGTGAGAAAAGATGAATAGTTCTCACCTTATTAATTACTTTTATTTACCAGAGGAGAAGGAATCAGAACACAGAAAAAGCTTTTATATTTTGGTCGTAGAGGAATTTGTCACATCTTTCAGGGCAAGGTAAACTGCGAATTAATAGTGAGTCTATTTTAAAAATTAACAATTTTATAGAAATTATAAAGGTGATGGCTGAGATGATACAAAAAGGTCACTTCAGCGGCTGGTGCTGTGGTGCAATGAGCTAAGCGGCCACCTGTGACACTGGCATCCCCTACCAGAGCATAGGTCTCAGTCTCAGCTGCTCTGCTTCTGATCCAGCTCCCTGTGAATGTACCTGGAAAAGCTGTGGGGGACAGCCCAGGTACTTTGGCCCCTGACACCCATGTGGAGGCCAGGATGGAATTTTGGGCTCCTGGATATGGCCTGGACCAGCCTAGTCACTGAGGCCATTTGGGAACTGAACCAGAGATGGAAGATCTCAATCTATTTCCTCTTTCTCTGTCAGCTCCCCAACCCCATCACTCTATCTTTCAAATAATTTTTTTAAAGATTTATTTACTCAAAAGTCAGAAATACAGCAAGAGAGGGAGAGACAGAGACAGGTCTTCCATCTGCTGTGTGACTTGCCAAGTGGCTGCAACAGCCAGGGCTGAGCCAGCCAGAAGCTGGAAGCCCGGAGCTTCGTTCAGGTCTCTCATGTGGGTGGCAGAGGCCCAAGGACGTAGGCCACCTTCTGTTGCTTTTTCCCAGGCTGTTAACAGGGAGCTGGATCAGAAATGGAGCAGCTGGAGCCGGCGCCGCGGCTCACTAGGCTAATCCTCCGCCTAGCGGCGCCGGCACATCGGGTTCTAGTCCCGGTCTGGGGGCCGGATTCTGTCCCGGTTGCCCCTCTTCCAGGCCAGCTCTCTGCTGTGGCCAGGGAGTGCAGTGGAGGATGGCCCAGGTGCTTGGGCCCTGCACCCCATGGGAGACCAGAAAAAGCACCTGGCTCCTGGCTCCTGCCATCGGATCAGCGCGGTGCGCCGGCCGCAGCGCGCCGGCCATTGGAGGGTGAACCAACGGCAAAGGAAGACCTTTCTCTCTGTCTCTCTCTCTCACTGTCCACTCTGCCTGTCAAAAAAAAAAAAAAAAAAAAAAAAGAAATGGAGCAGCTGGGACAGGAACCGGTGCCCACATTGGATGCCGGTGTCGCAGGCGGTGGCTTTGCCCACCATGTCACAATGCTGGCCCCCAAATAATTTTTTAAATTAAAAAAAAAAAGCAATTTCATAAAAATGAACCTGAATGGACGGTTCAAGAGAGATCAGAAAGACTACTTGAGTGTTCCTTGCATTTCCAGGACTATTACTGATCTAAACTGGTAATCATCTACCCAGAGAGAATCTTCACAGCAGGCATTGCCATGCTTGGCTTTGGGATCCACGGAGCATGAAGTGGCTGGGGATGCAAGCAGCATACAGGAACTGAGGCTCTAGAAACCAGAGGTGTCCATCAAACAAAGGGTAAGCACTAAGCCTCATGCTTAAACCTGACTGCAAAGAATTCTTTCACGAAATGAAACAAAGCCTGAGTCCCGACATCACTCTGTTCAGCAAAACATGCATCCTGCTGCTGGCACCTCATTGAGTCTTACTTTATGGTCGTTAACTGCTGAATATTTGCAGCTATGTTTCTATAGGCAGATTATGAAATCCCTGAGGGCAAACAACATATCTTCTCTTTTCCCAATCCTCTGGGATGACTTGTACCCACCCGTCAATGCATGCTAGTTCTTTCCAACTGTTTTTCTTAAATGTCCTTTACCTCAGTAATGCTTGTTTAAAAACCAAACAACCCCAAACTAAGCATACTGTACCCTGCAAGTTCAAAAATGTTGTTGATGAGGTTGGCTCGGTCTTTGTCACTCAGAACGTAAGGATCTGCTTTCAGCTGTTTGATGAGTGCTTCCCAGTCATCATCCGCGTAGTGTACAATGTAATAGCCAGTCATGTTCGCATTGACTTTGACCCACTGCACTTCTTCTGTAAGATTGATGACACCTAATACACAGAGAAAAGAAAGGAGAGTGAAATATAAGACAACAGGGCAAGAAAAACATTAACAAACTTTGTTTCCAAGTTCACCTGGTGTATTTTTATAGTTAATCATTCTCCCAAGAAACTAACTGCCTACATTCCCATGCAGCTCTTTTTGTGTTATCAAAGGAAGTCACTCATTCATTCATCCATCAGTTAGTTATTTCCTGGGCACTACGGGCTCCAGGCTGGGCACTGAAGAGTAAATGGTGGTCAGGGTAGAAATGCCTCTGCTTTTATGCATCTTAGGTTCTAATGGCACCAGGCAAGCATGATTATCATGTTAAGCGCCACTGATGGGAGAAGCAAATAGGACATTAGGTGGAAGCAGACAGAAAAAATACTTCGCCTCCTAGGGAAGATTGGGAAAGGTTTCTTGAAGAAGTGACACCTAAGTTATCATTCTCCTTTAACACTGTAGAACACACAGGTGTTGGCTTGGTCAAAAGGTACAGTATAGGAGCTGGGATAGCACAGCAGGTTAAGCTGCCACTTGCAACGCCGGAATCCCATATCAGAGTACCAGTTCAAGTCCTAGCTGCTCCACTTCTGATCTGCTACCCATGTAGGGGACCCTGGCTTCAACCTGATCCAGACCAGGCTGTGTGGCCGTTTGAGGAGTGAACCAGCAGATAGGAGCGCGTGCTCGCTCTCTCTCTCTCTCTCATTCTATCTTTCAAATAAATAAATCTTGGGGGGAGTATAGCACAGCAGGAACACAAAGGGACAAAAGAGAAACATGTACTTGGTGTCTACACACTGAACTGACTCCTGAGTTCATTGTGACTGCAGGAGAAGAGAGAAAGGAAAGTGTGTAGAACAAATGAAGCCTCTTAGAAAAGTCACATATAAGTCAAAGTTAGCAAAATAAACACTAGGGAAAGTTAAGACTGTATGAGGCAAAAATAAGAAATAACTGAGTTAAAATAACAGACAAGTGAAATGCACTGTTTGGACCTCTACCATTAAATATACAAATGCTAAAAGAACTGCTAGAAATTTCCATGGAATTATTTCAACTAATGTACAAATAATGAAGAGCTAAATGACTACAGGATATATTTGTGAGTTTTTAAATCCTTAAAATTACTAACCCAGCAAAGTCCTTTGAAGCTGGCAGCAAGGCTGTAGATTTAATGTGACAGGGTAGACTCCTATACTCAGGTTAACTGGTTTTTTGGACTACAGACACCAAGAGCTTACTATGTTTAATTAATGACTGAATGAAAAAATAATGACTATGTCATAGTAACTAGTTTCAAATCAAATGTAAATGAAGTATGGCAGATACTTATGATATCTTGGTAATTCCTTGGTATTAAAAAATGAAAACTTAAAAAAGCTCTTAATTACAAGATAAAAAAGAGCAGAGATAAAAATAATCTAGGGGCCAGTATCGTGGCACAGTGGGTTAAGCCACCACCTGGAATGCTGCATCCCATATGAGTGCCGGTTTGAGTCTCTGCTGCTCTATTTCTGATCCAGCTTCCTGCTAATGTACCTGGGAAATCAGAGGAAGATGGACCAAATATTTGGGCCCCTGCACCCATGTGGGAGACCTGAAAGAAGCTCCTAACTCCTGGCTTCAGCCTGTCTGTTGCAGTCATATGGGGAGTGAACAAATAGATGGAAGATCTCTTTTTCTCTCTCTCTCCCCCTCTCTACTCTCTAATTCTGCCTTTCAAGTAAATACATAAATCTTTAAAAAAAAAAAAGAAAAATAATCAAAACTCAGATGTCACAGCACTTTGGAGTGTACCAGTATTTTCTGCCAAACTTTTTTCCTATGCATGTTTTAAGTGACATGGTACACCATACTAAGGACCTACAAGTGTATGTACTTGTTCCCTCCTCCCCCCCAAAAATCTTGTTTACTTGAAAGTCAGAGTTTGAGGCGGTGGGGAAAGATCCACGATCCACTGGTTTATTTACCAAGCAGCTATAACAACCAGGGCTGAGCCAGGCCAAAGCCAGGAGCTTCACTGAGGTCTATAACATGGGTGACAAGGGCCCAAGCAGTTGGGCCACCTTCCACCGCTTTTCCCAGACCATTAGAAGAAAGCTGGATCAAAAGTAGAGTAGCTGGGACATGAACCAGTGACCAGCTGGAATACTGGCATTACAGGCAGCAGCTTTACCTGCCACGACACAATGCTAGCTTATGAAATGTTTTATCCTGAATTTTTATCCCCAATTTTTCCATTTTCTTCATATGCAGTGCCCAAATAGTCTTCATAATATTCCATTTTAATACCTACCACAGTTTAATCAATCTCCTGTTTAGAAACATTTAGGATGTTTTGAACTTTCCACTATCACAATAATTCTTAGTAAAGTTTTTGGTATATAAAATGCTTTAGAAATGCTTTCAAAATCCAAAGATTATGTATTAGTAAGCAAAGCCTTAGTGTCTTTCAACTTCAAAAGCATGAATTATTCAAATTTATCAGATTCCTTTAATATGTCTTTACTCAAAAGATTTGACAGGCAGAATGAATATAGAGAGAGGAAGAGATAGCGAGTTGGTTCACTCCCTAGGCCAAAGTGAGAAGTCTGGAACTCCATCTGGGTCTCCAACATGTGTGTGGTAGGGACCCAAATACTTGGGCCATCTTTCGTTACATTCCTAGGCTTATTAGCAGGGATCTGGATCAGAAACTTAGCAGCCAGGACTTGAACTAGCATGGTGGCAAGTGGCAGCTTAACCTGCTGGGCCACAATGCCACCTCCCTTTTAATATCTATATTACTACAATTCACTGACAATGAAAAGAGTGTTTAAGGGCAGAAAGAGAGAGAAGGTGTATACACACACACACCCCCATTCACTAATTCGCTCCTCATATGTCTGAAATAAGCCAGGATTGAGCAGTGCTGAATCTGGGAACAGGGGACTCAATCCATGTCTTCCACAAGGGTGGCAAGGACCCAAGTACTCATGCTATCACTCGGTGCCTCCCAGGCTCTGCACTAGCAGGAAGCTAAAATCAGGAGCCAGAGCAAGGAAGCAAACCCAGGCACTCTGACTCAGGACAGGGGTGTCTTAGCTGCCAGGCCAAATGCTAGGCCTGCACAAGTTGTTTAAGATGAAAAAGACATTCTGATTATGTCTTTTTTTTTTTTTTTCAATTTTTTTTTTTTTTTTTTTTTTGACAGGCAGAGTGGACAGTGAGAGAGAGAGACAGAGAGAAAGGTCTTCCTTTGCCGTTGGTTCACCCTCCAATGGCCGCCGCGGCCGGCGCGCTGCGGCCGGCGCACCGCGCTGATCCGATGGCAGGAGCCAGGAGCCAGGTGCTTTTCCTGGTCTCCCATGGGGTGCAGGGCCCAAGCACCTGGGCCATCCTCCACTGCACTCCCTGGCCACAGCAGAGGGCTGGCCTGGAAGAGGGGCAACCGGGACAGAATCCGGCGCCCCGACCGGGACTAGAACCCGGTGTGCCGGCGCCGCTAGGCGGAGGATTAGCCTAGTGAGCCGCGGCGCCGGCCCTGATTATGTCTTAATAGGACATTTTACCTTAGCCTTTTTTATGAAAAAATTCCCCACTAATTTCTGTTATGTTGCTGGTACAGTACCAGATGGAAAAGATAAATTAGATAAGCAGGTTTATTCCTTTTTTCAGGGCAGAAGGCAGTCCTAAGGAATACTTGTGATGGCAACCGTAGCTACTACGTTGGAGTGATTTTTAACAAACCTATGACTAATGAAATTAACTTTATCATTGGTTAATCCAAAAACATCAACACTCTCTGGGTCACTAAGCACAATCTCCTACAGAGACTTTTATTAAAAAAGAAGCCCACGTAGAAGGATTAGAGTCCCCAACTCCCTTCTCCCACCCCTCCAGGAAGAAAAGGAATGATAGGTATGGCAATGGTTCCACTGGATGGATGAAGAAAAATACAGCAATATTATCTTGGCTGATAAGCAACTTACCACGTTGTAAACCCAGCCAAGTCCAGATGGTATAAAGGGGGAATGCGGCTGGGAGTGTACTTGAAATTGCTACTGTCATTGAGATGACAGAACATAAAGCAGCGCAGTCAAAAGCATCAAGACCGAGAAGAGTTATCATTGAAAGAATCAAAATACTAGTCTCTTTCATGTCTTCGAATGATGTAGGAGGGAAGACCTTAAAACCACAGGTATCAAAAATAATAGCTTTGTACACAAGGGAGGTAACTTGATCCTGTAGCTCAAATGCAGATGAGGCTTCCTTCATATGTTTCTAATTTATTACAATCATTAACAGATTAACCGTTCAGTTTTCACAGTCCATTGGGTAGTAACAATAGAGTGAGCAACTCCAATCTTAAATGGCAAAAGCCCAGATAAGTAATCTGTGATTTTAAAAAACTATTCGTCAATGAGCTATGAAAACCTACTACTGTTTTACAAAGAAACATTAAAGCAGCTAAACAAAAAACATGTTTCCACTACAAGGTTTTTACAAAACTTCCTGTCCAGTTTGCTCCAGAGGGCCAGCATCACACATGTGGCTGATCCGCCTTTCCCCTTGTTCAAAAGCATTCCTGTTTCTAATAGTCCTTTCTACTTCATTTTCTCAGGGAACAATGGCCAGGGCAGAGTGTGGCATGTGATATATGTTTGGATTACATGCCCTTCCTTCTTCCTTCTCCTCCATGCCCTTTCCTTCCAACAACAGGTCTCAGTTCTGGTACAGTGAAATTCTTTCAGAAATATGAATGTTCCAAGTTAGATTTAATATAACTATACTTGCAGTTAAAGAGCTTGGGTCTGGGTCTGGCACTGTGGCAAAGTAGGTTAAGCCTCTACCTATGGTGCTGGCATTCCATGTGGGCGCCGGTTCAAGTCCTCGCTGCTCCACTTCAGATCCAGCTCCCTGCTAAGGGCCTGGAAAAGCAGTGGAATATGGCCTGAGTGCTTGGGCCCCTGCACCCACGTGGAAGACCTGGAAGAAACTCCTAGCTCCTAGCTTTGGATTGGCCCAGCTCTGCCACTGTGGCCATTTGGGGAGTGAACCAGAGGATGGATGACTTCTCTCTCTGCATCTGCCTCTCTGTAACTCTGCTTTTCAAAAAAAGAGTTCAGGTTGATGTAGATAAGAGAAAGGGAGGGAGAGAGGAAGAAAGGCAGGAGGGATTTTTTTTTTTTACTATAAATTTCTCAAGTATGTAGCCTGGAAAAGTTACCCCTTTCAGATCTTATGCAAAACCAACACTAAGTATTCAAAATTCACATATATGGGGAAAAATCACAAACACATTGATTAAATGTAACTACTATAGATGGCTGAACTAATGCAGCAACTCTGAAATTAGAACCCATGGAAATATGGCATAGATTTAACAACTCATCAAGGTAATTAATATTCTACACTAAAGCCATATGGTATAAAATATGATTGAAGTCAGCCTCTCTTACATTTCTTCTGAGAATAGGAAAAATGAAAATGTAATTAAGAGTAATTTTCATTGGTGTACTGGGAACCAAGAAGACTCAAGTGTCTTCTGAGTTAACCACTTTTGGAAGGGTGGAACATTTTCAGCATGGACTTTCAAAACCTGAACTGACAGGAATGCAAACAGCAGCAGCAAGGGAAATGACACGGCTGAGAAGAGGAAGTGACAGACATTGCTTTCATCATATACTGGCTCAGTTCCAGCTCTAGATTAAAACAATTATATTACATCACATTTTGTATATTTCCCTTTACTAAGAATCTTTTTAAATGAAGGGGAAATAAGATATAATTTCATCAGATCTTGAATGCTTTTTCCCTAGATTTTTTATAGTGATACTTAAAATTTACCTATTTCATTATGTACTAACTTTATTCATTCAGTAAAAACTTTGTGTGCCTACTGAATGCAAAGTTTAGAAAAATCATTCATATAGCTGATCCTTACCCTCAATAGGGGGTGCTCACATACACACACATCTCTCTCTCTATATATGTATGAGAATAATAATAATAATAATAATAAGTGAAGTGGGACTTACATATGCTACAGTGGAGAAGTAGATGATGTTATTAAAAACATAAGTAGGGTAGGGGAAAGCTTCCTGGGGCAAGCACTGACTGAGCTAAGATCTGAAGAACAAAGAGGAGATCAGGGGAGTGGGAAGGCCAGAGGGATCTGCAGGGAGGAAACGGCACATGCAAATGGCCAGAGAAAAGAGATAGCATGGATGTCTGCGTTACTGCAAGAGTTTTTGTGTTGTGGGAGCCCAGAATGCCAAGTAAGATCGAAGAAAGATAAGCCTAAGGCTGAAAATATGAGCTAGTGTACAGGGCTTGAAAGAATCTCAAAAGTGCACATAAAAATTGAGCTAAAGAATAAAGAGAAAAAAGCAAATTTTTTACTGTCTAGTTATTTCTAATGCCACCAAAAATTAATATACTGTCAGATGATTTTAAAAATATCCTTTTAAATGTTCTAGCCATGGTTTGGCTGTGCTGCTAGATGTAAAAAGAAAGGTTATCTCTTCTCTCTTGAATCAGACTATCCTACCAGGACCCACTTAAACCTCTCTAAAGTTTGGAGTTTTCTTTCACCAAAGAAAAGCACTGGGAGTGGACATTATGGTGCAGGGGATTAAGCTGCTGCCTGAATGCCAGTTCCAGTGCTGGCTGCTCTGCTTTTGATCCAGCTTCCTGCCAGTGTGCATCATTGGAGGCAGACGATGACTCAAGTATGTGAGTCTCTGCCACCCCTGTGGGAGACCTGGATGGACTTCCAGGCTGGCAACTGTGGCTATCTAGGGAGTGAATCAGTGGATGAAAGATCTCTTGGACAGGCGCTGTGGCTCACTTGCTTAATCCTCCACCTGCAGTGCTGGCATTCCAGGTTCTAGTCCTGGTTGCTCCTCTTCCAGTCCAGCTCTCTGCTGTGGCCCGGGAGTGCAGTGGAGGATGGCCCAAATCCTTGGGCCCTGCACCCACATGGGAGACCAGGAGAAGCTCCTGGCTTCACATCGGCATAGCTCCGGCCATAACGGCTATTTGGGGGGTGAACCAATGAAAGGAAGACCTTTCTCTCTCTCTCTCACTAACTCTGTCAAATAAATAAATAAATAAAAAGAAAGATCTCTCTCTTTTTACCTGTGTCACTCTTTCAAATAAATAAATTTCATAGTAAAAAGAAGGGAATCATGCAAACGAGCCCTAAATTCCTTGCGCATAAGCTTTACCCACCTCTCAAAAATGGAAGCTTGACCACCAGATCCAAATTCAAACAAGAAACTTTCCCTTTTTCATAAATCTAAAACATCACTAGTAAGTCCTACAGAACCCAAAAGCTCTATGTTCTGTTAGGACACAAATTGAAAGGATATGTGACATGGACTTCAGAGCAGTACTTAAGAGGTAGTCAGAAACTACGATTTAATTGCTTTTACAGACTCCTTGCTGGCCAGCACACACAGGATGAGGATTCCTTATCTGAAAGGCTTGGGACCACAGTGTCTCAGATTTTGTCAGGGTTTCCTCTCCACCCCAACTCCCTCCCCGCCGCAAAAAAAATCTTTTATTTCAGGAATGCAAATTTCATATGTACAACTTTAGGAATATAGTGATTCTTCCCACCCCTCCTCCTCCTCCCTCTCCCCTTCCCAGTCCCATTCTCCTTTAGGATCCATTTTCAATGAACTTTATACACAGAAGACCAACTCTATACTAAGTAAAGATTTCAACAATTTGTGCACACACACACACTCAAGAACTGTTTGAGAACAAGTTTTACAGTTAGCTCTCAAAATAAAATTCATTGAGGTCAGAGGTCTCACATGGGAAGTTAGAGTACAGTGACTCCTGTTGTTAATTCAACAACTAACACTCTTACGTATGATGTCAGTGAGCGTGGTGGGATTTTCTCGGAGTTCTGAATCCCTAATCTGAAATCTGTGACCTGATACACAACAAGCAGGAGCTCAAAACTTTTGGATTTTGGAGTCTCTCAGAGTTTGGAGCCTTTCAGATTTTGGATCTTCTGATCCTGTATCACCTTTACATTTTCCTGTCTCCACTCCTTACCATGACTGTTTCCTGCCACATTTTCTCTTTACCAAAAAACATAGGCTACATCTGCAGGACGTTTTTAATAATTATTTCTTTACTCTCAATCTAGGTCATGCACTAACCTTTATTATGCATAAGAAACATTAAGGGTGTTTGTTAAAATGTAGTTCCAGGGCCAGTGTTGTGGCACCGCAGGTTAAGCTGCTGCTTGCAGCACAGGTATTCCATATGGGCAATGGTTCGAGCCCCAGCTGCCGCACTTCTGATCCAGCTTCATGCTAATGCGCCTGGGAAAGCAGCAGATGATAGCCCAAATGTTTGGGCCCCTGCATCTAAGTGGGAGACCTAAAGGAAGCTCCTGGCTCCTAGTTTCAGTCTGGTCCAGCCCTGGCTGTTATGGCCATTTGAGGAGTGAACCAGCAGATGGGAGATTCTCTCTCTCCCTCCCTATAACTCTGCCTTTCAAAGAAATAAATCTTTTAAAAACCAATGCAGCTGGGGCCGGCGCCATGGCTCACTTGGTTAATCCTCCACCTGTGGTGCCAGCATCCCATATGGGCACTGGGTTCTAGTCCTGGTTGTTCCTCTTCCAGTCCAGCTCTCCGCTGTGGCCCAGGAAGGTAGTAGAGGATGGCCCAAGTGCTTGGGTCCCTGCACCTGCATGGGAGACCAGGAGGAAACACCTAGCTCCTGGCTTTGGATCCACGCAGCGTCAGCTGTGGTGGGCATTTGGGGGGTGAACCAATGGAAGGAAGACCTTTCTCTCTTTCTCTGTCTCTGTCTCTCACTGTCTAACTCTATCTGTCAAATAAATGAAAAAACAAAAACAAAAACAATGCAACTGCCACAGCCTGCCCCTTGAAGGTAGATACCTGAGCATACTTGAAGAAACTGTTCAACTTTTATAACTTTGTAACATAAAATATTTACCCAGCATACACAAATACAGCACTTGCTATTTCCTGCCAAGGAGGATCCCACATTCCTTGCAATGGTTTGTCCTTTACTTAACAGGAGTAAAGGCCAATTTTGTGTATGATACATAGAATCAATTTTACTTTATTCATACCTTGGACATAAAACCAGTTCATAAAACCTTTTCAGACAGTGAGCATACTGGTAACCACAATCCCCTCTCCGCTCTTTGCTCAGATTTTTACAACTCTGTCATTTCCAATTTCTTAGAGAAAAGAGTCAATTATAGTCAAACCTGATTTCTCGTCCAGTAACGATACCAACTGATACTCTGAATAATTTCTTCTATCCGTAACATAGGATAGTGGAATATGCCAAAGGTAGCTGTAAAGAAAATATTGGAAGATTATTACTGTTTCTAATATTTCAGCTGTTTCACATGATTTGTTGGCTCTTTTTTTTTTTAAGGAAAGGAAGTGGAAATTTTTAAGTGATTCTCAGGGATAATATGTTTCACAAGGACTTATGATTACAGGACATTTAAAAGCACTGTAACCTGGGATGTGAAAGAGATGGCTTAGAAAGAAAGACGCAGGTACCTTGCATCTGAAGGCTGAATTTCAGGCTTCATATTTAAAAAGAATCTCTCTTGCTTTACAAAAAGTTGCTTTCCTTTTCTTTGAACAGTTACTAATGGAAATCCTTTCTGCAGGGTCCAAGTTTTCATAATTTTCTTTACATCTAATGTTCCATTTGTGACCTGTAAAAAAAGAATGAATTACTTTTGTTTAGAGATAAAAATTAGAAAGACTGACACCTTCCTGACCACGTTCTACGAAGACCTCATGTAATGCTAACATAGTCAAGAAGCATGGATGCTAAACTGGGTTTACATTCTCATGCAGGTTAACAAGCAGCTGCTGGAAGGAAAGAACTCTGGCACAGGGTAAGCCACACGGAAGGGCGTGGACACTCACTATGTTGAAGAGTAGCACCTGTGAGACCAACCAACTGAGAATTCACTAAGATTAAAAACCCCCAAACTCATGAAGATTAAAATCCCTAAAACAGCACAAGTAGTCTCTGAGGCTACAATACCACCACCAGAAGACACACCAGATGGCAGTCTAGAGTTGGAAGTATTGCTACCACAGTGCCAGCCCCTGCTACTCAACCCTATGAATCAGCAGAGCCGAGGTTTCTCTTGATTCTGTATTGGCCACTTGACAAACATTAAATCTTTTAGAGATTAACACTGTGGGAATACCAAAAAGCAGTAACAGCAGAAGACTGAGAGGAACAGGTCAGTGGCATTAATGTCGAGTCTCCATGGACAACAAAGGTAAACTTTTTTGATGGTCACAGACGTTTTTTCCAAGAAAATACATAAACTTATTGACAGAGAATCTGGTATCAGAAGTCACAGACCTGCTGGAGCCCACTGCCCCTGCACATCCAGGATCAATGATGAAGAAGCAGTCCATGAACAACTTGCAAGCAACTCAGTCATTGTGTCCCTAAATTGGTAATCGCTCCACTACGGTAGGTCTGACCTCAGTCACCACACCTGTATTTGTTCAAAGCACAAATGAATGGAACAAATTCCTAAAATCACCGAGCTATGAATCTTGTATTTCTAATGGCTCTGACCTACTTCTTTCTGGACCAGAGGCTGGGAAGAAAACAAGCTCATCCAAAAGCAAGGGACTCTTGGGTGTTTGAAAAAGTATCAAAATAAAAAGGCCAGTGAGTACTCTGATGTGGATGCTGAAAAACCTGACCATGTTAGGGACTAGGTTACGGCAGGACAACACCATGATGCAAAAGCCATGGTCAAGGAGGAAGGCAGGAGACTAGGAGCGTAAATAACATGGCTTAACTGAAATGCTGCTACATGATCCAAGAAAAAACAAAGGTTTGGAAGCAACTGTGAGGTCCTAAGAATGGAGCCCTCTTTGAAAGAACTCAGCACTGCTAGCAAGGAAGGTGCACCTTCTGGCCAAGGGGTTAACAGCCAGAAAACACCAGAGTTGGGAGCGGGCAAGCAGGCAGAAAGAACACACTGAAAAGACCAGAGCAGGGGTTCTTCAGCCAGCGTCCACAAGCTCTGCTGCCACTGTATGGGGCATTTTGCACATCTGTGATTTGTCTGGAGAATATGGCTAGAATGTCCATCAAATTTACAAACAAAGCATGTAGAAACACTGATGCAGATCAGGGCCCCAAACGCAATGCCTCATCAGGGCTGTGTGGCCGGCACACACACGTGAGGCAGGTGGGCTCAGGTGTGCTTCCTCATCACACTGCCAGTGAGGACATCAGCAGCCCCAGCAGAACCCAAAGGCAGCCTCTGGTGGTTACACTGAGACATGTCATCTACTCGAGAGGGCCAAGGCCACAAAAGGCGAGACTCCGTGGGCAGAAGATAGTCATGAAGAAAAACCAGGTGGGGGGAAGACAAACAGGAAAAGAGGCCTTTGGAAAAGCAATCAAATAACAGAAATACATAATACCCATTAATACAGAGAAGACAACTTTCCCTGTCCTACAGAACCGGCCTGGAGAGTGAGGTGCGTGACGAACACAGCTGCACAGGGCCACACACGCTCGTCTCAGCAGCTGGAGCAGTGCTCCCAGCTGTGGGCTCAGCCTTGGTGCCCTGTGCATCAATATCTGTGTCTTAAGCTCCATTGCCCTTTATCTTGAAGAAATATTCTCGGTACTATAGAATTGTTTTCATATGTGATAAGAATATAAAAAGAATTCCTGGGGCCGGTGCTGTGGCATAGTGGGGTAAGCCATCGCCTGCCGCACTGGTACCCCACATGGGTGCCAGCTTGAGTCCCAACGGCTCTGCTTCTGATCCAGCTCCCTTGCTGATGGCCTTGGAAGGCACTGGAAGATGGCCTAGTGCTTGGGCCCCTGCACCTGCATGGGAGACCCGAAGAAGCTTCTGGCTCCTTGCCTCAGACTGGCCCAGCTCTGACCATTGTGGCCATTCGGGGAGTGGGCCAACGGATGGAGGATCTCTCTCTCTGTCTCTCCTTCTGTCTGTAACTCTGCCTCTCAAATAAATAAACAAATCTTAAAAAAAGAAAAAAAGAAAAAGAATTTCTGCTGTCTTACTCTAAGAGGTAAGCAATGTATTCAGGACACTTACCTCATTAAAACTGTCCCACAGATCGTCACTCTGGGTGGATGCATAGCTGTGATTGTGCAGGTAAAGAATAATTACATGCTGAAACACGTGCTCACTAAGGTACGTCTTCAGCATCAACAAGAGAGAGGCTCCCTATTTAAAAAAAATTGAGGAAAAGGGGAGAAATGACAATTAGAAGTTATAGGATTAAGAATTTAAAATTCAGAATACGCTGACCATCCTACACATATACCTCCATACAAAGAACCCAATTATAATACACTGTTAGTCTCAGATAGCTAGATGTAGACTATGTCCAAATTGTATGAAAATTATTTAAGGGATTTGAAAAAGAATGAATGAAGTAGACTCCCAAGTGCACTAATTCTACCATGACCAATCTGTGTGCTGCCAGTGTATGTACTCTGTCAGTGCTGGTGTTGAAAAGCTAAGTATTTTTGATACATAAATTTCCAATAGAGAAACAAACCCTGTTTTCTGTGCTTCTCCACTCCCAACTCCAGTGGTTAAGGTACCCATTGAATTCACGGGCACACACTGCTGGAGACACAACAAATCAGCCGAGCTCTCGTTTCCAGACCAGGCAGTGTGTGACTTTCCCGTTTTGGTACATCATGTTGTTGAAGTAACTAGGACCTCTGTTCTTTCTGCACAGTCACTTCAGGAGCGTTTGGAACTAATGAAAGTCTAGGGCAGCAGGCATGCAGGGATCCTCCGGTCAGGCACGCTGCCACGCCACACTGCATCACTCATGCACACGTCCTCACTTCCGAACTTCAATCACTTCCTCTGGAAAGCCTTTCCTAACTCAAAAGAGCAATCATACTTCCCCATCTTCAATTTTTTTCACTTCATGCACCTCTCCTATATTCATTTCTTCTTCTAGACTGTTTGCTAGTTGAGGGAAAAACTGAAAAGTTCAACTAAAATAACTAGAACAATGCCTACTACAATGCCTGCTCGTAGGCAGGTAAGTAATTTCTGAGTCAATGTTACTTCTGATAACAGTGTAGCACTTTAACTCAACAAGATCATCAGAACACATAACTAAATTCTCTCATTTATGTAGATGTCATAGCTACTCTTGTTCTATAAATTTAACTACTCATTCTTGATCCCAATAAGCTCTCTTCTCCTACATCACCAACTTTCCCTCTGTATTGTAAAATTCCCACCAGCAAAGCAAAAACTAGTAAACGTTCCTAATCCCACACAAACAAGAGATTCCCCAGCTTCCCATACCTTCATGCCTTCTTCAGCTGTCACTCTATTTCTTGCTCCCTGTTTACCACCTCCATTTTTTTCCTGAGTCATCTGCTAACCACCACTCCATTAGAAATGCTCTTATTGATGTTACTGGAGAACTTCCTGGTGCCCAACCTCAGACTAACATTACTAACTCGGTGCAGCACTGGATAAAACTGATCATCCAATTTTCCTTTAATGTCTTCATGCCTTTGTGTAAGACACACCATGCCTAATTCCCCCTCTGTTCTCCAGTCACCCCCCTCAGTCTCTTTTGCCACAGCCTCCTTATCTTCCAAATGACTAAACTTTAGGGTGCCCTGTGTTTGATATTTGGACATCTTTTCTTCATTATCTACCTTCACTTCTTAGTTGATCCAGAGATACTGAATGACTCCCCAATTCATATATGTAATCAAACTCCAGACTCACATCCAACTGTTCGCAAGCACTTTTATGTCTAAGGCAGATCTCATACTCAAAACCTGAACATTTTTTCTTCTTGCCTTGAATCTACTCCTCCAGCAGTCTTTTCCATTTCAGGAAATAGCCACTCATTCTTCTAGTTGTGTAGGCAAAATCCTTAAGTTACCCTTCAGTCCTCTCTAACATTCCACATCTATTTCATCAGCACATTTTACTGGGTCAACCTTCATAATACATTCCAAGTCCAACCACATCACCTTCACAACCACCACTCCTGTCCATCCTGGCTCCATGTGCTGTTGAAGACTAGAGTGATCTCTTCAAAAACAAGCCACTTCGAGGTGCTTCCCTGATCAAGTGGCTTTCTATTTCACTTAGAAGAAAATCAACATTCGCATCCTGGCTGAGTAGACCTTAAAACAATCTGGGCCCTTAGAATTGCTGACTTTACCTACTACTTTCTCCTCCGCTTACTCTACTCCAGATACATTGGCTCCTTGCTGGTGTTTGCTCTTAGCCAAAAGGCCGAGAAGCGATCCTTGCTGGTGTTTGAACATGCAAGACAATCTCTGATCTCAGGCTGTGCAGGGTCACTAAAACCAGTCACAGATTAGATGTTAGGCTATGAGGACTCACAACATTCAGCATATAGTCACATTCACCACATAATTAACTACAGAGTGAAAAGATACAAAGTAAAAGGCACATGGGTCAAAGTCCAGGGGAAACCAGGAACAAGCTTCCAAGTTCCCAGCAGAGTCATACCGGATGTCTTTAACTCCTTTAGCAAGTTGTGATAACATGGGTGATACGTTGTCAACACAAGGATATGCATTAGAGTTAGCACTCTGAGTATCCACTAGGGGCTAGTCGTGGAGGTACCTTACCTAGCACAAACCAAAATTCAAGACTTCCAAAAGAATAGCAGATGTTCCACACCCACTATATTGCTTACACAGTTTAGGTACAATAAATCACTCTTACCATAGCACGGTAGGAATTTTCTCAAAATCCAAGTTCCCAGATGCCAGCCAAGGTGCAAGCTGGCCTTTTGAAGGACAGCAGTCTCAGGCCTGGCAAACTTCCTCTCTTCTACACACAAGCTCTATATACTGATCACATCCTTAATCTGGACCATTCCTTTCCTCCAAACCCACATGCCTCATGTCTCACTCCTCAAAAGGTGTACAAATGTCACCATATAAGTGGTCTTCCCTAATCATGTTGTATAAAACAGCCTTTTTTTAGGGCAGGCATGTGGCGCAATGCTTAAAATTGCTGCTTGGGATGCCTGCATCCTCTGCTGGAGTTCCTGCTTTGAGTCCCAGCTATTCCATTTCCTGTCCAGCTTCCTGCTAGCATGCACTCTGGGAGACAGCAGATGGTGGCTTAAGTATCTGGGTCACTGCCACACACCTGGGAGAGCTTAATGGAATTCTGGACTCCTGGGTTTAGCCTGGCCCAGCCTGCCTGTTGTGGGAATTTGAGTGAACCAGCAGATGGAAGATCTCTCTCCATCTCTCTCTTTCAAATAAAATGAAAATAAATAAATAAAAACAAAAACAGCATTTCTTTTATCATTGTCATTTTACCTGCCATACTTTGTTTTCCTATTAGGAATTATGATCTAACACAACACCTGTTTATTAATTGTACTATGTCCATCTGTATTTTTGACTGCTAAAATGGAAGCTCCACAGAAGGGACACAGCCCACCTTTTACTCTGATGTATGACATATGGTGGGCATTTGCAAGATTTGTGGAGTGAATGAGTTCTCCAACATCAGAATTAGGCTTAGTAATTATGAACACCAAACAGATATGTTTATCTCATATTTCCCTACTGGCATTTACTTTTTCTTGTACAAAATACTGATCAATTATCTAGTACCCTATTTTTCTCAATTGTGTAGTATATTTGCCAGATCCCAATTAAGAAATATGTGGTTTCCATATTGACAGGGTTATGTATGCAGCAGAAACCACATGAACACATGACACTGATTTCTGGAGCTAGAGGGTAAGGGGTCAAAAACAGAGCTGTCATCAACCAATCCTGAAAGAACTTCTGTGCCTGAGAGTACCCAAACCTATAGTATAGACTATTTAATTTTTCCCATACATACTTTTTAAATTTTTTTGATAGGCAGAGTGGACAGTGAGAGAGAGAGACAGAGAGAAAGGTCTTCCTTTTGCCATTGGTTCACCCTCCAATGGCCGCTGCGGCTGGCACACTGCAGCCAGCGCATCGCGCTGATCCAAAGCCAGGAGCCAAGTGCTTCTTCCCAGTATCCCATGCCAGTGAAGGGGACCAAGGACCTGGACCATCTTCTACTGCTTTCCCAGGCCACAGCAGAGAGCTGGATTGGAAGAGGAGCAGCCGGGACTAGAACTGGCACCCATATGGGATGCCAGCGCTGCAGGCAGAGGATTAACCCACTGCACCACGGTGCCAGCCCCCAGTGTAAAATTTTATGATGTTTCTCAAAATGGGCATGCAATCTAAAATGTATGAATTGTTTATTTTTGGAATTTTCTATTTAATATTTTTGGGCAATGGGTAGCCAAAATCACAGATGGTGAAACTGTGGAAAATGAAGGACTAATGTGTAATAGTTAAAATATAGCTCAATTCCTGATTTCCTTGTTTGTTAACAGTACTGTAAGTCTCCCTGAGTCAGGCTCAAACCTGGAAACATTTCTGCCTCCTCTACCTGCCTTACCCTGTTATCACTGAATTAAGCGCTTCTCGCGCTCAGTGTTGTTACACCCACGTCTTCCTCTCTACCCTCTCTCCCACCCCTCATTTCATGCCTGCACTTCAGCAGCCGCTTCCTGACTTCAGTTCTCTCACCACTTCAATCTCTTTACAAACTGAAACCAACCTGGTTCCTAACTGGTTCAAAAATCTTCCAAAGCTTCCTGTTGCTTACAGAAAAATGTCCTCATTCCTTAAGGCTTTTAGAACCTTTTGCAACTGGGCCCCATACTACCTTTCTCATCTCTCCCCTACTCCATGTGCAGCTTCTACTGCTATCAGACGCTTACTCTAACAGAAACTCCTTGCCTATTCTTACCTTTTTCTTGCAGACCCCACTGTTCCACTCCTGTCCTCCCCAGCTTTTCCAATCCTTCTTTACCTATAATCTTATTATTTAATTTAAATTTCCATTTTCCTGCAAAAAGTTTCTCTTCCTCAACCCAGGCAGAAATTCCACATACCATTCATTTGGCACAAATACTTCATCATTGCCTCCGAAGTACCCAACACCTGAACATCGGGCATTCGGATGACACAGACTGGAACTCAAACATTTTATGCACCGTCTTTTCCATCTAACACAGGAATTCAACTTTTTAACCAATTAATCTGATCTCCAAGATAAGGAGGCAAATAAGCCACAACACAAATGTGAATGTCGCTGATACCCCTAGTCCTTATGGTGACCCTAACAGATTTCTAATTTTCTGTTCTCTCTTCAGCCCCAAACCTGGAGTCTGTGTCTCTGATCCTGCAATCTAATCTTCAAGTCTTAAAAATCTTCTTCTGCTTACTTGTTTTGGCAGTCCTAACTTTAGAACATCCCTAAGTTCAGAGTGATACAGCCAAGGGCTGGTTTAGAATCCCTCCCTGCACATATCCTACCTATGGATCTGTGAGTAAACCAGCTTTCAGAAATGTACTACTGTAAGATCTGATTAACTGAGTGGAATACTACTCACAGAATTTTAAAAAAGGAACAAAGTAAAAAAGAAGAAAATAAGACCAAGATTCAAATGAGTTTAAGTGCTTAAACATTTTCAAGTTAACAGGATACCCAATAGTAACACTCATTTAATCTTTAAAATTATCTCAATCACGTATCTTGCTCACATTTGAAATTGATTTGAAACCTACTGCAGGTACTTTCTGACACACAGCAATACCTTAAAATAGGAGAGGGAATCAAACATTTCTTCTATTTGTTCTGAAGACTGAACAGATGATGATATTGGATGAGATGCGTTCAAGGAGTCTTTCTTCATGGTTTTAAATCGAGCATCTAAGAAATCTTCACACTAGCAAAAAATGAAACAGAGTAGGATATCAGTACCAAAGGCAGATTAGCATTATAGGAATCAGCCTAATTACTGCTTAAAATTATTATTTAAAAAAAACAACAGTTTTGCCAAACTTCAGGATATAAACTTTTGAAAATACAGGAAGACTGTGAGCTTCACATATATTCCTTAAATTAAAACATACAATTATAACCTGGCCACACAAAAATAAGCATATTCTTACAGCATGAGAATAAATTTTACTAAACACATGCCAAATTGGATATCCAACATGACTATTCTAAAAATGTCAGTGTGTGTATTTGTTAAATAGAATTTGAAATTGGGGGGGAAAAAAAAGAACAAAAAGTGGTCCTTAAGGTGACTTCTCATAAAGCAAGCCTGGGTTTCTATTAAGATAATAGGAGTAGATCTTCAAAAAGTTCACAATGAAAAAACTATGTATTTCAAAAATTTTCTGCCCCCAAATAAACCTATCTAATGGTTCCATTTTTCCACAAGCATTTTGAAGTCCATTCATATACATTTCTCTTAACTGAGGTTTATTTATGTTAAATAAAATATCACTTAAACACAAAGTATTGTTTTGAGAGCTCAGCAGATGAGCTCCCGAAGAATATATAGCAGTTTTTAAATATTCTGGGCACCACCCAGTGGTGATACTGTGTATCTCACTGCTTAATTAAACAGCATATACAGGTTTAGAATACTTTGCTTAGTACTGTAGCTCAATATTAATTCTCACAGTACTTGAATTTTTTTAACAAGTCCTATGCAAAAATTTCAAATTGAACACTCTAAAAGTATTGTATTACAGCAGCCTTGGATCTCCTCTCTGGAAAGTCTAACAGAAAGTCACAGCATTTTAGGGTTGAAGGGGATCTTTACTTTCCTGACTACTTGGGTAATTTAGGAGGTATCTGTTGCATCACAACCTGGTGAGTCTGAACATCCCTAAGTATCAGGCCCGTCTCCAGGGAGTCTAATAACACAGTGACAGCACTATTATTATGCCTCTTCACAATGGAATATTCCAAATCTTTGGAAAAGGGCCCAAAATATGCCTTTACCTAAAGAAGGCAAATTATTTGCACTCCACCTGTATACCATTATTACAAGGATGTACACTGTGATAACAGAGGAACAGTATTTCCATAAAAATCACTGAATTTAAAAAATCTATACAAAGTCTAAAAACATTTTGCAGGCCAGCGCTGCGGCTCACTAGGCTAATCCTCCGCCTGCGGCGCCGGCACCCTGGGTTCTAGTCCCAGTCAGGGCACCAGATCCTGTCCCAGTTGCTCCTCTTCTAGTCCAGCTCTCTGCTGTGGCCCGGGAAGGCAGTGGAGGATGGCCCAAGTGCTTGGGCCCTGCACCCGCATGGGAGACCGGGAGGAAGCACCTGGCTCCTGGCTTCGGATCGGCGCAGTGCAGGCCGTAGCAGCCATTTGGGGGGTGAACCAGTAGAAGACTTTTCTCTCTGTCTTTCTCACTGTCTAACTCTACCTGTAAAAAAAAAAAAAAAAAAAAAAAAAAAAAAAAACATTTTGCAAAAGAGTCTTTCTGACCTTATCTGTACTTTTTCAAACAGAAGGGCCACATCTGATTAAAAAAATGTAGTAAAGCAAATTAGAATATTTTCCTTAATAACAAAAATGTGAAATGATATCACATAATTTCATCTTTCAATAAAATACATCAATAAACAAAAGGATAATTTTTATTGCCAAATTTTGAAAGATGTTGATATCAGTAAGAAGGGTCAATTTCATTATAGCTTTCTGGAAACATTTTCATTTCCCCAAGTGCACAGAAAATGTGTAGCAAATATTACTTAACCATTTTTTCTCCTAGTATTCATAAGCCAAAGAAACACTATACTCACACTGGAGAGCTCTTTGAATATTTTTTCCAAAGAGAAATATTCCATAAAGGTGGCAAAACCTTCATTTAGCCATAGATCATTCCACCACTGCATTGTCACCAGATTACCAAACCACTGTGGGAAAAACAAGCTTTAAGCAACAAAATATTTACATTCTCAGGAACTTTCTAATAACTGGTTTAACTGTCAGAATAATTGTCCATATAAGATTACAATATCTTAAAAATACATGGGTATAATAGCTAAAACAAACTATATTCAAATTAAAGAGTGACAAAGTTTATAATTTACATGAAACATAAAATTAAAGTTTTAACATTTTACTTTAATTAAATGGGAAAACAAGAAAAACTATTTATATATTGATTTATTAGCACATCTGTCAATTTAACAAACATGTCAGCATGCTGGAGAAATGACTTTTTTAGCCACTTCAAAAAATGAGATTGTCTAGAAAAGGAAATTCTTTACCTTCTACTATCAAGTCAGTAAGACTATTTTCCATTGTTATCTACAACTAAAAAATGAGTGTCTATGTAAGAGATTTTCCTATTATTAGAGTGTTTTTACTTCACATTTCTCATAGTTGCCAAAGCTGAAGACAGTTTTGCATGATTCAAACCAGAATTCAAACATTCCTTAGGAAATTGCCCTATATACACACAAATGATATAAAAAGATCTTTGTTTTCTTCCATGCGGTAATAAAAAGGAAAAAACAATGACAGAAGATTCTCCCAAAAAAGTGTATCTCAAAATTTCTTGAAATAAATGGCTATAGGGTATGGACTTCAGTCAGTGTGCCTACAGCTTATGTCAAATCAGCAGCAAAAGACGGAGTTACGAGACAGTGAAATAAAAACACCTCTGAGAAGTACAATAGCACATTTTTCTAAGATACTATCTTAAAAAGTATTTCAGAGGAGGATGACTTACAAGTCATTAAGAAGTGAGTGGTGCTGGTTGGCCTGAGAAGTAACAGACCCAAGGAGATCCCCCAAAATTGATGCATATATGCGACCATTTGGAACAGCCTGCACCTGCCTCCATGCCAGCTGCTCACGAGTGCTCACAGGGGCTACAGAGCAGCGCACACAACGTGTGTGAGGTGGGGAGCAAGCCAGGCAGAGTGCTTCTGCTCTTCCTTCCCATCCTGCCACCTGCATGACATCCACACCCGACTCTGACAAGCACCTCACACAGGGCACAGGAGACAAGGCGTGGGGCAGGAAGGGGATCTGGGTGACCAGAGGATTTTCTTTTTCTCCATGTCACGCAGAATTCCCTCAACCTTTCCCAATGAATACAGAATCCAGTTCTAGCAGGAGAAGAAAAATCAGATCGAGTTCCAACTACAGTTCAAGAGCTGTCAGAAGAGAGTGTAGCTTAGGGAAAAAGGATGCTTACCCCAGAAAATTATACTGAGCAGCTGGCATCTGTCAGAGACAAAGCAGCTGTGACTTATTAGAGGCGGGGAAAGACATCTTGAGCAGACAGTGGCTCTTCAAGGCTCAGTGCAGCCACTCGATGGTGGTGTGACTTTGGGCAAGTCATGTATGGAAGCCTCAGTTTCCACATCCATAAAATGGGATTACCACCCACCTTACAGATGCTGTGAGGTGATATAATGGACGTTAAAATGCTTTAAAGTCCTTACAAACATAATGTTTGCACCAGAAAATTGAGTTCTTGCTAAAAAAAAGCATCTTTTTATTATGAAAGACAGTATTTTAAAAACGCTGATTGTCATCTATTATATAGTCTAACTCTAGACCACAGTGTCTGTTAGTGTTAGCACCTAAATGTATGTTTAAACTCTAAGAGACCAAAGGAATGAGATGTTAACAGCCTTGATCGCTATTACCTGATGGGCCAGCTCATGAGCGATGATTTTAGTGACCAGTTTTCTGTCTGCCACTGAAGAAGTGTTGTTGTCATACAGAAGTGTCTCTTCTCGGAAGGTGAGCAAACCCCAATTTTCCATTGCTCCTGCTTCAAAGTCAGGAATAGCCACCAAATCTGGACATAAGAGGAAAGCAGTGATCGACCCTCCCCTCACCAGAGGCACACCCCAGTAAAATCAAATGCGCTATCCACTGCTTCTCTCGCTGTGCTCCTAACAAACGGAACCGTCCTTACACTAGCTTTGAGTACTGCTCTCCCACGCACCAGCTGAGGAAGACCTGACCAAGCCCTGTCCGTCACTGTTTCATTGTCCCTTAGTGAAGGAAAAAACCCAGTTCCTTCACAATGGACCAACTTCCCAGAACCAGGAGGATGAGGTTCTGGGACTAGTCTCCTGATGCTTTCCTGAGCTCCCGTTATAAAGTTTTTATGATTTGATTAAGATTTTCTCAGAAGTTAGAATCAGACTCCAGACTAAGACTAAGACTAGGCTGGTTTCTACCTATCTGACACCTTTGTGACAACCCCATAAACTTCTCAGTGGGGTTTTGTCCCCCCATTTTATTTGAAAGGCAGAGGAAGAAACGAGAGAGAGAGAGAGAAAAGAGAAAAGAGAGAGAGAAAGAAAGAAAGAGAATGGCCGGCGCCGTGGCTCAATAGGCTAATCCTCCACCTAGCGGCGCCGGCACACCGGGTTCTAGTCCCATTCGGGGCGCTGGATTCTTTCCCGGTTGCCCCTCTTCCAGGCCAGCTCTCTGCTGTGGCCCCGGAAGGCAGTGGAGGATGGTCCAAGTGCTTGGGCCCTGCACCCCATGGGAGACCAGGAGAAGCACCTGGCTCCCGGCCTCGGATCAGCGCAGTGCGCCGGCTGCAGCATGCCAGCCGTGGCGGCCATTGGAGGGTGAACCAACGGCAAAAGGAAGACCTTTCTCTCTGTCTCTCTTTCTCACTATCCACTCTGCCTGTCAAAAAAAAAAAAAAAGAAAGAAAGAAAGAAAGAAAGAGATTGTTCCAACTGCTGATTTACTCTCCAAATACCTACAACAGCCTGGCGTGGGCCAGGCAAAGTCAGGAGCTCAGAACTCTATCTGGGGCCAGCGCTGCAGCTCACTAGGCTAATCCTCTGCCTTGTGGCGCCGGCACACCGGGTTCTAGTCCAGTTCGGGGCGCTGGATTCTGTCCTGGTTGCCCCTTTTCCAGGCCAGCTCTCTGCTGTGGCCAGGGAGTGCAGTGGAGGATGGCCCAAGTCCTTGGGCCCTGCACCCCATGGGAGACCAGGATAAGTACCTGGCTCCTGCCATCGGATCAGCGCGGTGCGTCAGCCACAGCACGCTGGCCGCGGCGGCCATTGGAGGGAGAACCAATGGCAAAAGGAAGACCTTTCTCTCTCTCTCTCTCTCACTGTCCAATCTGCTCCTGCCCTGTCGAAAAAAAAAAAAAAAAAGAAAGAACTCTATCTGGGTCTTCCATGTGGGTGGCAGGGACCCAAGTTTTTGAGCCATCATCTGCTGCCTTCCAGGGCACACATTAGCAGGAAGCTGGATCAGAAGCAGAGGAACCAGGACCTGAACCAGGCACTCTGATATAATATGCAGGCACAAGCCAAACACCTTCTTAGGCTTTAAGTTCAAATACATTTTTAATAATCTTTATAGTGACAATTTTTTTCTTAAATTCTGTAGATCTCTATTTTTTTTTAAAGAAAAATTATTTATTTGAAAGGCAGAGCAACAGAGAGAGATGAAGAGACAGACAGAGACTGAGATCCTCCATCCTCTGGTTCACTCCCCAGATGTACACAAGAGTCAGAATAGGGCTCAAGCCAGGAATTCCATCCAAGTCTCCCACATGGTCAGCAGGAGCCAACAAGTACTTGAGCCACCTTCCAAAACATTCCTGAGCAGGAAGCTAGATTGGAAGTAGATTGGCTGGGACTTGAACTGGCTCTCCGATATAAGATGCCAGTGGCTGCTTAACCCACTGCTTAACCACACTGGCCCAAATTTGTAAAACACTAACAATGTTTCTTGATTAAAAAAAAAAACAAAAAACAAAAAATAAACAAACAAACAAAAAACTTGGGCAAAAGCTCCTTCTAATCATGTTATAGTTGTGAAAGTCAGAGGCACTGTTTGATCCTTACCCAATTTCTTAAGTGGGTACTGAATTTCAAAGTAGTTTTGATAAAACTCAAGCAGTTTCACAGTTGTTTCCAAGGCATGGTGAACTTGATCAATCTTTTCTGGTACTGCATACACAGAAACCTAAAGAGAAACATCACATATAATGTAAGGACAGCACAATGAAAACAATGTATTCAAGTGAGCACCGTCAAGACTAGTCATCTGAGAACTTTCACGGAACAAATTCTTACTTCCAGCTCTTTCAGCTACCAGCACCCCCTACCCTCCCATCTCGAGTTTGACAAATCCCTTCTACACACAGGATGATGTTCAAAAATCGACTGAAATCTGGTTTATTAAGCTGACATAACACCTGAAATAAACCGCTTGGGGTCATCTTACAGCAACTTATTAGCATTTATCTATTTAACTTTCTCTTCTCCCATTACCTACAGTTATCCTTACTTTTAAGTTATGAAGACTGTGGATTAACAGAAGGTGAACGCCAAATTTTAATTCACTGAATGCCTATCACGGGGCCTGGACAGTAACAGGCACACAACAGAGGAGTCACATCTAATGACAGACTTACTTCTAAAGCTAATATTTAAGGCAGAAATTGCATACTTATTGACACTAGAGAAACCATTAGAGACTAACGTACTATTTTCAGTGACTATGGTACAGTCAGTGCTTCTAGTAGTTGGCAACATATTATTTTTTGCTGCTGTTGGCTTATTTTTATGGACCATGTTGTTAAAAAAAAAATCACACAGTGAAACAGTCACACTATGAGGGGCACACAGTAAGTAAAACCAACTAAGGGAACAACAGAGTCATGGCCTCCATGGCTCATTCACGCTGGGACTCAGGCTAAGGGGGAAAGCAGACAGACTCACCCACATTATCTACACTGAGACTTGTTTTCTCTGGGTATAAGTTAAACTAGTACAATGTGACTATTGTAAATGAAACTGAAATTTGACCAAAGGATCTACTTATTCCCATTTCTGAAACACAATGGAGTAGCCACAAAGGTGGTTTGTTCTGTTCTTTTCAACTCTTTTCCTTAAAAGAACATGTGCTATGAGTTCTTACTAGAGATAAACAATCAGGTTATTATTATTATTATCAAGCTTGTTCTAAGGGCACCCGAAACATTAAGAAATAAACAAAGAGCACAATCTAGCTTGGAGAAAAAAAAAATCTTAAACAGAGCTCTGAGTCTGGGTAAGAGTATGCTCCACAATGTTAAATGGGAGTCAACTGGCACCTCAAGCCTTAAGTTGACAACTTAAAACTGTCCTGGGGGCCAGTGCTGTGGCATAGTGGGTAAAGTCACTGCCTGCAGTGCCAGTATCCCATATGGGCACAGGTTAGATTCCTGGCTGCTCTACTTCTGACCAAACTTTCTGCTATGGTCTGGGAAAGCAGTACAAGATGACCCAAATCCTTGAGCCCCTGCACCAGTGTGGAAGATCAGGAAGAAGCTCCTGACTCCTGATTGGTGCAGCTCCAGCCACTGTAGCCATCTGGGGAGTGAACCAGCAGATGGAAGACTTCTTTCTCTCTTTCTATGCCTCTGCCTCTCTGTAACTCGGACTTTCAAATAAATAAACAAATCTTAAGAAAAAATTATTTGTTTATTTATTTGAAAGTCAGAGTTACACAGAGAGAGAAGAGGCAGAGAGAGAAAGAGAGAGAGAGAGGTCTTCCATTCAATGGTTCACTCCCTAACTGGCCACAATGGCTGGAGCTATGCCAGGATCTGAAGCCAGGAGCCAGGAGCTTCCTCTGGGTCTCCCATGTGGTTGCAGGGGCCCAAGGACTTGGGCCATCTTCTACTGCTTTGCCAGGCCATGGTAGAGAGCTGGATCAGAAGTGGAGCAGCTGGGTCTCAAACCGGCACCCGTATGGGATGCTGGCGCTTCAGGCCAGGGAGTTAACCCACTGTGCAACAGCACCAGCCCCTAAATAAATCTTTAAAAAAAAAAAAAAAAATTGTCCTGGCCAAATCTCTTGCAAAGATTTTATGGGAGATTTCTAAAAACACAAGCATAGAGATCCCTGGTTATTCCCAGAGGAAAGAGTTCTTTAAATAACAGCTTTATCAGGTTTAAGTTATTTTTTCCCTTAATTTAATAAAAATCCAAACTAGGAAAACAACACAAACACAGAACCAAACCTCATCCCCAAAAAGGACAATATTTAAAATGCGGCCTGCAAAATTTATAAAGACAGAAAATATTGGAAGCTTCATATTAAATTAAGTATTAAATATTGAATTTCCTGAAAAAATTTCAGCCTTCCTAAACCCATAATTGGACACATAAAAAGGCATAAATTCCCAAAACAAAAATAAGCAAAACAGAATCAAGCCTACCCAGAATAACTGATTATATGGAACTTTAGGAGAACGAGATAAATTATACACAATGCCCCAAGCTGGTGGGAGGATACATAAGGTAGAAATGTTTTTTAGTGGAAATTTGGCACAAAGTCATGTTCATGACTAAATATGAATAAATTTAAATTACAATTTCACATGGATAATACTGCTGAAGGCTCCACTTGAATGCTGAATATCAGATGTGGTATCCACATATAACCAACCGAATTTAGATTCTGATTCTACAAATGAGACCTGTCTATAGTAAAAACAAAAGCAGGCAGTGATACAAAACAAAATGAAACAAAAACCTCAAGATAAACAAAAGCAGTGTATCTCATAACTTGCCTAGAACTTTCCAGGTTAATCTTGGCATTCCTGAAGGCAGAGACAGGTGTAAGGAATGAAGAGCAAACAGAAGTGATAAAAATGGTTCCCTTTCTTTAGACCTTTCACAGGGTTCACTGAACAGGACCTGTAAAATGACCTACACCAACCTTTGACACTTTTAATTGATGAGTAAGAAGACATTAGTAGATCAAGCCCTATAGCCTTATTTTGGAATCTTGTTATATAAACCTATTGTCCGATTTTACAAAATAAACTTTACAAAACAATAGCCAGCCTAGAGATTACAACTTTTTGGCAGAAGAAAAATCCCTTGGTAGGCCTCAAGTTTTAAATTGCTGATCCCTATACTGACAGAGTTTTCATGTCTCTTGGTTTAAGTAGCAGCACATGGTGGTAGTGGTAGACAGTACAGTTTTGATTATGACAATTGGTAATGTAAATTTAAGTCGATAATTTAACCCCTCTGAGACATCGTTTTCTGATCAGCAACACTTCCCCTCTGATCCAGTTCATAAAGTGAAAGAACATTTATACACGAGTGTCTAGGGCAGCTGCTGGCACAGAGTTAACTCCACACATTCTGTTTCTCCTTGTTTCCTCATATAAATTGAGGAAATAAACTACTGTCTATTTGCATAATGTTAACTTTTTTGAAATACATTTTCAAGAAACTGGATTGGAAGCAGGGGAATTAGGACTCAAATCAGTTCTTCAATATGGGACGTGGGTGTCACAAGCAGGAGCTTAACCTCAATGCTCACCCAAGTTTTAATTAACTGAAATCTAAAAAGTCACATAAGGCTAGTAGCTACCATATTACACAGTATAATTCTAGAAACTTTAGTATACATATACAGGGACACTTCACTGAAAAACAGAATTGAAAGACAAGTTCGTTTTGTTGTATAAAGTTTTAAAATCCATGTTTTTCCACAATACACATTTTTGATTAACTTTTTGAAGACCCCTCATACAAGATTTCAAAATTTTCTTGAACCCAAATAATCTTTTAATTCCATTTTTTACTTTAAAAAATTGACTTGTACAATTGCTTTGTTTTTAATTAATTAATTTAAGATGCAGTGAAAGAAAGAGACAGATAGTGAGAGAACTCCCACTCACTGGTTCACTCCATAAATGCACGCCTGGCTGAAGCTGATAGGAAGGAACTTAATCTGGGTGGCAGGAACCGAGTTTCTTGAGCTATCACCTGTTACCTCCAGGGGCTGGAATCAGGAGAATTAAACTGAGGCACCCCAATGTGAGATGCAGGCACCTTAACCACTAGGCTAAAAGCCTACCCCTCCACAAAGTTTCTGAAGTACCTTTGTACTCGTAGGGTTTTACTAGAATTCTCTAACAGTTAAGCACTAAATTAGCAAGTCTGGTTTAGCTCGGGTGGTCTAAAAGCTTCTTCATAAGGCAGCTGCCAGGAATTCCTGCCAAGGACTGGCCTGTGACAGCGTGGGCTCAGGGAGGACCACCACACCACATACCAGGGTTCCATTCATGTCCTGACTCAGGTTCTTCATCTCGCCCACAATGAAGGCAACCAGGTAGGTGCTCATCTTCACACTCTCAGCAAACTCGTCCTGAACAAGTCCGTCTTCCACGAGCACTGATGACTTCTGTAAGCAAAAGGGAAAGACAACAAGTCTTTAAATGCAGCAGCAAATGACAATGACAAATTGAGAAACAGGAAATTGCAATAGGAGGTAAGTACTGAAGATGCTGGCATACTTCAGTCCCTGAGCACAAGGGTCTGGGAGCCTGGCCCTAGGTCTGTTTGTCCCGTCCTCTTTCATCATAAGGATATACTGAGTGCACTGAAATGTTGAAGCAGTTTTTGGTCCCAATTATGGTGTTAAATAAATGTACACTAGAGACAGTAAGTAGCAGTGGTTCGGTTTCTCCCCTTCAAACTACCACCAACCCAATTTCCCCCCATGGAATGTGGGAGTGCTCCACCCCTCTGCACCAGACACAGCCACAGAAGGAGGAGCCAGCACCGGGGGCAGGGGGGCATCAAAGGCAGAAGCACCAGAGAAGTCTGCAGCAGACACAAGGTAAGTGAACACAGGCCACGACGCAGGATCTGCCAACCTTGAAGTAAGTTACATTTTGGGATACTAGGCAAGCAGGCATCCATCCCTCTCAGAGAAAGATTAAGGGGAAGAGAGCAGCTGGAGTGGGGTTGTTGTAGTGCTGTCTTGTTTTAGAACAGACCACGTTCTCCCACGTTCTCTGCTGCCAAGAAGCGGTTGACCCCGCAGCCTGCTGGGCATGGCTGCTCCTCTCCCCCAGGCACTTGGATTCTGGAGGCTCCCATCAGGCTGAGACAACAAAAGGACCCCCTAGGTTCTGTTCAGCTTAAAAACAACTCTTGGTTTTACCTGCCTTCCCGGCAGAGCTATAACTCAAGAAAGAGGCTCATGTTCTTGCAGTCCACCGACAAATCACAATATTGATTTTGCGTTTACCAGTAAAACATAAGAACTTTCATGGTTCAACGCTATCAAACACCACTGTTTATAATAGAAGGCTCACTGTGCCTCAGAAAATACCACCCTTATCTTGTACTAGCTCCCAGGACTAATATTTGCACACACTTTTGTAAACAGCACACACTTCTCACTCTCTACCCATATGCTGCAAGCCCAGTTCTCTCTCTTCCCTCAAGTGCTCCTCGGGCTGCCTTGCCAACTGATCTTAAGTATTTTAGGAAAGAATATTAACATATATGATTTTAGTTATGCTGAACAGGTGCCTGGCAGAGGAATTCAATGTTCTTAAAGAAAGAGATCCACTCATTCAACATCCAAGGAGATTCAACATTCAAGGAGAACAGTACCTTAGGCATATTTGATAAAGCAGTGTATTGTGCATCCCTTACGATCCTGATGATAAATGTGGCTTTAAATGCTGGTTCATCAAAACAGGGAAAAGCAGATCTTGCTGCCAGAGGTTCAAACTGAGTTGCTGCAAAGTACCTAAAACAAATGCAAATTTAATCCGATAGTTATTCAGCACCTACTGAATAAACAGGGTACCCTGCCAAGGACTATAGATACTAAGATAAACATGGTGCAATCCCAGTCATTAAATGACCACAGTCACCTGGAAGGGGCAGACATTTATACAATGGGCAGAAACTTGGGTCAGGCTGCAAATCACGTCCTAACCATGAAAAGAAGCAGTGGGAACAAAGGGTAAGAAACAAATCTGGCTAAAGGTTAACACACTATAACAAAAATATTGGTACAAAAGTCTTAAGAGGGCCTTAAAAGATGAGAATACTTGAAAAGGTAGAGAACAAAGAAAGAACACTCCAGGAAGTGTTAGAAGCACAGGTCCAGGGATGTGGGGCAGCTGGAGACAAGGCTACAAAGGTCTTGAGGCCAGTATTGTGGCCGTCATCTGGAATACTTACATTCCGTAATAGCATCCCAGCTCCTTCACTTCAAATTCCTGCTAACGCATTGGATGCCTGCCATCTACATGGGAGACCTGGATGGAGTTTCTGGCTCCTGGCTTTAATCTAATTCAACTGTGGATGGGAGAGCTCTCTTTCTCTCCCTCTCTCTCTCTCTGATGGACAATTAATAAGAAGGGTGATCATTAATTGCCACTAATCATCTGTAGATTTTTTTTTAAAGATTTATTCATTTATTTGAAGGGCAGAGTTACAGAGAGGGAGAAACACAGAGAGACAGATTGAGAGGTTGAGAGAGTGAGAGAGAGAGATCTTTCATCTTGGTTCACTCCCCAGATGGTCCCATCAGCCAGTGCTGGGCCAGAGACTGAAACCAGGAGATTCATTCAGGTCTCCCATGTGAGTGGCAAGGGCCCAAGCACTTGGGCTATCTTCTGCTGCCTCTCCCAGGCCATTAGCAGGAAGCTGGATTGGAAGTAGAGCAGGCAGGACACAAACTGGAGCCCACATGGGATGCTGGCATTGCAGGTGGCAGCTTAACTTGCTACGCCATAACACCGGCCCGTGAATAGATTCTGATTCCACTAAACCTCAGCTTCACAACTCGCACTTTCAGGAAGGCTTTACTCTCTTCAGAGATGAAACCAAAAACCTCCTCCTCCTGTATCACAGCACCAATAGCTAAGAAGGCAAAACATGAATCCTCAGTTTAGGTTAGGGGAAGAACATCAAAAGAAACAGGAGGAAAATGCAGATTTCCAATATAAGTAGAGGAACAACACAGAGGGAGACCATCCAGAGAGCTACGTGTGCATGCCCTGCTGTGCACATCTGAGGTTCAGTCAACACGGCACGTACACAACCTCTTATTCGGATGGGACAGCCACTCTTGCTTTCCATTACTAGAAAACAGGTAGAAAAGAAAGAGTATGGGATATGGAACCTGAAGACCCAATCTCTAGACTTCGGGTAAATCCATGATCCACATCTCAATTCTCTCATTTGTTAAATTAGGAGTAAGACAGGATTTCCTGCCAGTCACCCAGTGTTTATACCAGAATTAAAACTCTTCATAACACAAACTTGTATACCATGAAACCCTACATAGATGTTTATTACAAATGCCAAGATAACCATAGCTCTTCTTTTATGCTTGAAATCGCTGTACTTTTTTTTCTGGTAAAGTTGTGCCCAGTTACTGTTTCCTGGTAGGAGTGCACCCAGTACCAGGTGAGACAGGCAGCAGTGAACACATGTGAGACAAGGCAAACACAGCATGTGTCTAACATTCCATTTCTCCACTGTATCCAACTTTTAACATCCTTACCTAGTCAACAGAAGATTCTGGGAGAGGGACCGTGGGACAGGGGATGATATTTGATGATATCCTTACTACTAATGTAAGAGAGCCAAATTGTGGGGGGAAATGAGATTACAACATTCTAAAACAAATAAAACCTTTAGTTGCCATTAAAAGAAAGGCAATCACAACTATCTCACATAAGAGTCCGTTAGAGAAGGCTGCTATCTGATGACACGTATAAGCTGTCCTCTCTATGCTGAGTATCTCAAATCCTATTCTTTCACTGGTGACTCTATTTGCGTTAAAACATATTAGCCACATCTTCAGCACTTCTTCAAATATTGCTCTACAAGTATGAATCAGCTGGGGGTTAAGTACAAGCTGTAAGTGTTGGGGACAACAATGTACAATGAAAAAGAGCTGTGAACTAGGGAGGCAGTGCACCTGAGTGGTTAAGAATGTGCTTCTGTAGCTAGAATGGCCTTGGGTTCAAGTCCTCCCTCTGCTATCTGCCATCCATAAGATATGGGAAGAGGTGCTTAATGTATCTTTTCCTCCTCAGCTGTAAAACGGACCTAGCATTGATATCTATCATTTTAGTGGATTAAACAGGATAAAAGAAATAAAACGCTTATCATATTTCTAGCACGCCAGAACATGTGGGCTCTTATTTCATTAGATTTTAGGAAAGTGAACATGAAGTTCAATACAGCACGTGAGGTCTGTGAGAGAAAACCAAGGGCCACAGCACAAATAGTCTGGAGACAAATCCTGTCAGAAATGAGGAACTGCTGAAGGATCAGAAACCGGAGGCTGCTAAGGTTGTCTGCACTTACAGATAAGCACAGGAGTCAGCAGCCCGGTGGAAGACCATGGGGGAAGGGAGCTGTGGCAAGATTTCCCATCAGGACGCCTGTTAAGAGGGTGCTTCTAGGTCACAAGAAATACAGTGTCTACGGACTTTACACACAGTCTGATTATCCGGTCAACAAGGAATAGATCCTTAATTACTTTACCTATCAGTTTAAATATTTATTCTAATTATACCTCAGAGGGAAAAGTATAAAGACTTCTCCAACATATGAAGCAAAATTAAAAATTGCTTTGAATTACAGCTTTCAGACATCCTAAAGGTATGGTCTTCCACACTCTTATCTTGTAGCATGGCACAAAGTCATGCAGGAACATTCACTTTACCCTGAGCAGATAACTAATGAACTTGTATTTTGTACATAATAGCAGAGTTTCATGATTCATTTTTAAAATAGATTTTAAAATGCCATTTAAAATATTGCATTTCTTATTTCAAGGAACCATATTCCGTTTTTTGTAGCATTTTCCTCAGCTCAATCCAGCCAGTGGCAAGTCAACAGTGGCCCTGTCAAAGACCACCTTACTCTGCCACACACTTATTCCTCCCACAATACACTAACAGGTAACAAAGATTCCAAGGCAATCATCTGTGCACCTCAGAGCACTGACATGACTGCTACTTAATTGTATGCAGTATGCACTGCATCTTTCCAGATTTCTGAACTACATGCCAATAAATACTAAAATTAAAGTACAAAATATATGGTCTAAAAAGTGAGCTGGAAAACCTTGTTTTGTACCAACTGTTTTGTTTTTTCCAAACCAAATTCTCTCCTAGAGTTTTTTTAAAAAAAATGTTTCCATCAGAAATCCAATAGTCAGGCTGGTACTTAAAAAGACACCAACCAGCCAATATTAAGGGTACTAAAAATGGTACATGTAAGTCCAACACAGTTCTTCCTGCCCTCTTCTTCTAAGCACCCCTGCCCCAAGTGCTGCACATTAGTAAAATGGATCTAACAGAATAACCCATACTCTGCTTCACTGTGATTTCCGCATGAACTGGGCAGGGTGATGAAGATTTGGATTCATCTTATACCAAAAGCTCAAGGTGACTTAAGCTTTTGCAATAGAGAATCCGACACAGAATCTTATCCATCTCTTTCCACCAGCACATGCTCCCCCACTCCCACCCCGTTATAATTATGCTCAAGGCTTTTCCCCAGAGATGTGAGTTCTTCCAGTCACCATTCCACCACCTGCCACATCACTGGCTAAATCACCCTCAGCCTGTGGTGTGGGCCAAGGGCCCCACTCTGCAGAGGACACAACGCAGACCCAGAATCACTGAGACCTACTTTTTCTCACGATTCTCGTCTGTGTAGGTGATGCCGTAAAACCCGTAGTAGGAGCGGGAAATGTTTGCCGAATACTCTATCCTCAAGCTGTAATTGTGCCCCTCGAGGAGGGCTTCCGGGGCCACAATGGCAATCTGTTCATGAAATGGATACTCCAGGATCTCAACTTGCTTTTCTTGGCTTGAAACCGCAGACATAAAGGTCACTCTTGAAATATTATGGCCTGTGCTATGAAGAATGATGTTCCATGTGGCCTGAATAGCCTGAATTGAAATTGTCACCGAGCCCCTGAATGTCATGGAGGTTAGGTTTGGATGTAGGTTAAGTTCATAGCGTAGCGGGATAACGGTCGTGGGAAGCCTCATCTGTGCCCATGGAAACAGCTTCCCATTTGTGGCAATTGGCTGAATTAGTCCCATGGACTGGTTTTTCTTATGGCAGCCTTCTTTGGTAAAGGTACACCTGGGCAGCAGGTAAATCACCATGATTACAGAAACAGCCACCACAATGACAAAAGCACAGACCACCATGGTCCTTGCAGAGGGCACTGAACAAGCCCCATCCGGGCTCTGCCTGTAGCCAGCCGCGCTGTTCCGGAGGCCTGAGCTCCTGTTCATGAAGGACATGCCCAGCAGCTTTGCGGATGACTCATAGTCCTCTTCCTCCTCGTCCATCTCATGCTCACCAAGACCCCGTACCAGCAGGCGGGACCCCCGCGGCTCATACTCCACCTCATCGGGCTCTAGAGGATGTAAACAAGGTTCTTTGGCTAAATCCACCACATCTGGTTCTTCCTCAAACATGCTGTTTTCAATCATATTCCTGGGGAGCTGCAGCCGATCTGAAAGACCAAAGCAAGGACAAGGCTCCGAGTTAGGGAACACAGTTCACAGCGAGATGTCTTCTTGCAGGACCACATTTACGCTAAGGCTGTTCTTTAATCACCAGGACTTTTTCCCATCTCAGAGCTTCTGAATTAATAAATAAGGTGTGTACGACATTGAATCATCCATTTAAAATGCAAGCATAAATAATATACCACAGTCACGAAGCAAAATAGCTAAATTATCAGGCTGCAATCAGGAGAGACAGCTGAGACTACATACTAACGTCATTAACACATTCCTGCCCAACAACTTGGGTCCCTGCCCTGCACATCAGAGGGCCCTGTCTCTGGCTATGTCAGTCCCCACAGGCCAAGGAGACAGCAGAAGCAAAGCAATGTGCCCTACTTTTGGGGTCTGAACACCAGGACCCCAGAATTCCGGCTCCAAAGCCTTCAAACCTGCTTTCAGGGTGTTTGTGGGAAATATTCCCAAACTCCTTCCTGGGGAGCCCTGAAAACTGTTGTGCCCATTTCCAGGCTTGATTGATGACTAAGTGACAGGATGAACTACCATTTTTCTCCTGATATGTACCTGTCCCACACCAAATTATACACAAAATTTCTATAACTAATTAGTCACTATAAAAAAACAGATAAACCTGTTTTTCATACTTGCACAGCGTTCAGAAAGCACAATACATTCCCATCTGCAACGACAGCACCTTGCGCTGGGAGTGTCAGTGGACCCTGGGGTGGGGGTGGGGTGCCTTTCACAAACCACCAAGAACCACCCCACTCCCTACCTAATTTGCCAAGAATCACTGAGGAAAATAGACCAAAAAGTAGAAGTGTAAGTAATATCACATATATCAATAATTCCTAGGATTAGCTCATTCCAGGTTAAGAAAAATCACAGGGACCGGCGCCATGGCTCACTTGGTTAATCCTCCGCCTGCAGCGCCGGCATCCCATATGGGTGCCAGGTTCTAGACCCAGTTGCTCCTCTTCCAGTCCAGCTCTCTGCTGTGGCCCAGAAGGGCAGTGGAGGATGGCCCAAGTACTTGGGCCCCTGCACCTGCATGGGAGACCAGGAAGAAGCACCTGGCTCCTGGCTTCAGATCAGCATAGCGCCGGCCGTGGCAGCCATTTGGGGAGTGAACCAACAGAAGGAAGACCTTTCTCTCTGTCTCTCTCTCTCTCATTGTCTATAACTCTACCTGCCGAATATTAAAAAAAAAAAAATCACAGAAGGTTAGCTTTTAGGAGATTTCAAAAGTTTTCAAACTGAAACCATCATTAACCTTTCCCTACAAGGTACTTCATACATATTTCACCCTCACAATAATTCTATAAAATGGCAAATATTCTATTTTAGACCCAAGAAAATAGAAAAACAGAAATGAACTAATTTATCTTGATAAGTCATATAATTATTTTGTCAAAAAACTTAAAATCCAATTCCAAAAACTTTAAAAAGATTTACTTATGTGAAAGGCAGAATGATGCCTTCCCCCGCGGCCCCCCCCCCCCCAACACACACACACATATACCTCTCTTCCATCCACAGGTTCACTCCTGAAATGCCCCAGCCAAAGCTGAGCCAGAGGGAAAGCAGGAGTCATAAAATCCATCCATTCTCCTATGTGGGTGGCATTCACCCAGTGAGTGGTACCTCAGCCATCATCCATTGCCTTTCCAGGTGCATTAACAGGAAGCTGGATTGGAAGCAAAGTAGTAGGGCCTTGAACTGGCACTCTGGCATGAGATCCAGGTGTTCCAAGTGGCAGCTTAACTTTCTGTGCCATAACATCTGCCTTTAATTCCAAATTTGAGGTTCTTTCAATAACTATATTGATTCTTCCTAAACTAATTCAACAGAAGATGAGAGCTTATACCTAAATTATTGATTTTGCACATGGCAATGAAATTGTTAAACGTATTATTTCACCATTAGCAGAATAAAGCTTAAATAAGACCACTTAATATCTACTTTAATAGAAAAAACACTTTGTATTTGGCACTATTCGACAAATGCTAATTAAATAGTGAGAACTCACAATCCACTGCACGCAGCACTGATAAATAGTAAGATAAAATTAGTTCTACTGCTCAAACCATGGTGTGCAGACAGCAGTACCTGTACCACATTGTGCTAGAAAGGCAGACTTTCACAGCTTCTCCTTGGATATAGAATAATGCAATTTATGTCCATGTAAGTTTGAAAACTGCAGCCAGTCCTCATCACATCATTCCTGGGAGTGCTCTGGCCACCTCAAACTGTCTACTCCCTGGAGAACAAGCCAGGTTTCTATTTCCTTTATTATTATTAATTTATTTATTTATATTTGAAAGGCAGAGACAGAGATGGATGCATAGATATCTTTCATCCTGTGGTTCCAATGGCTACAACAGTCAGAACTGGGCTAGGCTGAAGCCAGGAGCCAGGAAATCCATAGAGGTCTTCCACATTGAGTGGCAGAACTCAAATACCTGAGCCATCATCCATTGCTTTATTAGGTGCATTAGCAGGCAGCTGATGGGAAGAGGGACTGGAACTGGCACTCTGATATGGGATGCCAGTGTTGCAGGCGGCAGTGTGACCTGTTGTGGCATGATACCCAACCTAGGCTGCTACTTCATACTCTCTTTCACATGCCTTTGAGGTCACCACTTCCTCCTCCTACCCATCCACCTAGCAAACATCTGCCATTCCATAATGTGGCTTAACTTGCTACACTGTAAATTTTTTAAAGTTATTTTCTTTTTCCTATTATCTTTATAAAATAAATTCCATTTCACCTTCTCTAGTGCTGCTTCGCAGAGCATACAGACCCTGATGAGGATGTCTTTTCCTGCCCCTTCTCCATCCCAAACTCTGTAAACGTTATGCTACCTCCAAATTTTCTCTGAATAAAACTTACTCATTTTCTAGGTCTGAGTTTAGTAAGCAACTATCTATCCATCTCCTGTGAATGGTCTGAAAATGGAAGAAGGGTTGTTAACAATCTGTTTTTGAGAATTTAATCTCCTATACTCCCTGCAGTGCCTTTCATGGTTACGTTTTAGGAGACCACTCACGTCATTAATGGAGCAAACACTACAGCTCTCCAATTGCCTTAAAAAACTAGCTCTTTCCACAATGACACCGCATCCTCCCTACTTGAACTTATTCAATAAAATATGAGAGCTTATACCTGAATCTTTTATTGAGTACCTGGCAGTGAAGCTGCTCACTGGTTAGACATTTCCTGGGGCAGTTTTTCAGTACCTAGCACAGTGCTATGGATTTATTGCTTAATTTCCTTTTCATTTTAAAATGCACAAAAGGCTTTTTCTGACTTTTTGATCTCACATGGGGAGATGATGCTAAGGTATCTGCCCACATACATTCTTGCGTGTCGGACCTGATGTAGACAACAATGGGATCTGGGCAGTATGGTTTTTTTAAAAAATATATTTCTAAGCTAACTCTGGGTAGAATCTCAGCTTAGTTCTTAGTGCATTCTCATCTCTGAATTCTGTTCCCTCAGGACTCTGCTTTAGTATTTTTTGGTTCTTCAGCTATGCCCAAGGAACATGGGGACACAGTGGGTTAGGTTGCTGCGTGCCATACAGCATCCCATATCAGAATGTCTGTTCAAGTCCTGGCTGCTTGGCTTCTGATCCAACATGCCCAATAATGCATGTGGGAAAGCAGAAGAAGATAAGTCAAGTGCTTGGGTTCCTGCCACCTATAAAGGAAACCAGGATGGAGTTCTGGGCACCATGCTTCAGTCTGGCCCAGACCTGACCGTTGTGGCTACCTGGGGAGTAAACCAGTAGATGGTAGTTCTGTCTGTCTCCCTCCCTCTCTTTCAAATAAATAAATCTTTTTTCAAAAAGAATGAATGAGTTAAGTCAAAGGACTGCCTGCAAATGATTAAATTAGATCTTCTGACAAGGACTCAGTCAGATGTCTACCAAAATCCAAGTAACTTACTACTTAGCACCCAGATTAATACCTATGCAGAATGTTAATCTTTCACCAATGGAGATTTACTTCACACCAGAAGCTGGCTTTTTGGTGTATATAAGCCTATCAACTTAAATATGTCAAACCAGGGGAAATCACTTTTATTACACACTGTCCATGAAGACTGTACTTCAAGGCTGTGTAAGAAAATATTGGTTTGATTCTGAAGCCAGTTCTTTGATTTTAACATAAATTATAACACATGATTACCTCCTGTTTTAATATGATTTATTCCTACCAAAAGATGGTATCCTACAGAAACAGAGTGTTTTCTCAAACCTCTTAAATCCCCATATACAAGCTATCTATAAGCGAAAAGCTCCTGGTTGAAACGTTTCCATTTTAAATAACAGAAGCCCATGTGGTTGCAATCTAAGAAAACTGAAGAAGTTGCTTTCCATCAGCTCCTGTTCGTGATTCCTGGACCAGTGCCAATCTGCAAACTGTTTGGTACCCATCTGTGACAGGGTACACACGGAAAAGCAGCATCCAAAAACTTTTACAGCGATTTGACAAAGCGATTCGCTGTTGAGTTTAATAATGTTTAAATTAGGTTTACATTTTGCATGTCTTTTCCATTCCATTTCTATGCTTAGTTTTTTATGTTACAAAATTTCTATAACAAAAGTAAAAAGCAAACCTTGGTTCTTCAGACTGGATAGTTTGTGAAGCAGTGTGTCATACTATCACTGTAACAGCAATCTATCTCAAGACAAAGCCCTCAACTGTGACAGTAGCAGCGGAAGTGAGGAGGAAGAAATGATTACACATCATGCTAAACATATAAAGTGCATGACAAATGCCCCCTTGAACTGGACAGACCTTTAGGGTGCAGAGCAAGCAAGAAGTCTCAATTCCCTACACACATCTGGCTTAGGTAACTGGGAGCAGGAATGCCATTCACTGAGCTTGAGAATATAGGTTTTTACATTCTTTTTCTCTCTCCCCCTCTCTCTCCTCCCTGTCCCCCAACTCCGTCCCTCTGAGGCAAAGAAGGGTAAAG